ATTATGCTATTGAATTTCTTAGTATTGAACTATCCATGCATTACTGAAATAAACCACACACAATATGATTTAATATTTTTAATGGGCTGTTGGGTTCTTTTTTATAGGTTGCTGGGTAATATTTTATGAAGGGTTTTTGTACTAATATTCATAAAAGAGATTGGCATGGAGTTTTGCATAAGGTCTGTATGAGATTTTGGTATCAATGTACACTTTCTTTTTTAAAGGATTGGGAGCTTTTCCTTTTTTTTGTTTGTTTGTTTTTTTGGTTTTTCTCCGGTACCGGGAACCGAACTCACGACCTTGCGCTTGCCAGGCAGGCGCTTTGCCGCTCAGCTAAATCCCCAGCCCCTAGGGAGCTTTTCCTTTTATAGGCTTGGGAACTGCTTGTTCTCTGAGACTTTCTGACATTCCCATGTCAAATCATCCAATCTAGTATGGGCACCTCTTTGGCAACTTCATTTCTTCTCTTGGAATTGGTCTGTTTAGACTTTCTGTTTTACCTGTGGTTACTTTTAATAAATTATATTTTATGAGACATGAATTCCATCCAGGTTTCATATTTATCTTCATAAAATTGTGTATTTGTTATTTCTAATTCCCTTTTTATGTGACCTTCTCCCCTTGAGGTATTTTTATTTGTATTTTTCCCATTTTCCTTTTCTATTATGATTTTTAAATTTTAATTTTAATTAGTACATGTTTGCAGTACATAATGATTACACCCACTGTGTACATAACATCTTTTTATGTTCTCTTTTCACCCTCCCCCACCTTTCTTTTGCTTAATTAGGTTAGTTAGATTAGGTTAGGTATTATATACTTTGTTAAGTTTTTTAAAGATCATCTTTGTTACTTGTATGATAGTTTTGTTTTATAGCCACTAATTTCTGCTTTTATTAGTAATTTCTTCTTTTTCTTCAAAAAAAATTTTTGTTGTTACTTTTCTCTTTTGGGTTATAGGCTTCATTCATTCATTTTCATCCCCCCTCTGCCCAGGGATTGATCTCAGGAAGTATTGAGCTACATCCCCGGCCCTACTTATTTAGTTATTTACTACTTTAATTTTGAGACAGGGTCTTACTACATTGCCCAGGCTGGCCTTGAACTTAATCTTCCTGCCTCTGCCTCCCAAGCAGCTGGGATTACAGGCAAGCACCACAGGGTTTCCTTCTGTCAGGCTTCTCTTCATGACCTAATGTGTGATCCGTTTTCACCAGTGTCCTTGGGTATCTGTAAAGAAGGTGTACCCTTACTGTCAACACCGAGCACAGAGTCGGTGCCTCCTCAGCCGCACTGCCCTGAGCTCCTGGGTTGCACACCACTTACCTCCCTGCACATACTCAGTTTCAGTCACATGTATCTCCCTCCCACCCCAAGATAGTTCACTCCTGCACTGCACTTTTATTTTTAGTACTGGGGTCTGACCTCAGGGCCTCACACTGAGCAACATGGCCCTTTTCTATTTTGTATTTTGAGACAGGATCTTGCTGATTTTCCCAGGCTGGGCTCAAACTTACAATCTTCCTGTATCAGCCTCCCAGAGTGCTGGGATTGATGGCATGCGCCACCACGTCTGGCTGGTCCAATAATGCATTTTGACAGTGCTCATGAAGGAAAAGGAGACATGCATCAATTCACTGAAGTTTTACTTGGTAAGTACCCAGAGGACTGGATGAATGGCCCTCTGCAGGAGTGTCCTGGACCTCCACCCTGCTCCTGACTGGCTCTGCTGACCCCACTGCCATGTGACTAAATATTTTGGAACACACACGGGTAGGTATGTCATCTACATGGTAGCCCACCACATAATATGCAGCGCTGTTTACCATACATCTAGCACCTGAGAGTTATGTTCCTTGTTCCTACCTGAACACATTTTCATAATGTTTAGGAAGGCCAGGTGGGCACTGGGAATTCTTGGACTCATAGAGATCACTCCCAAGATTTGGTGGTGTGGGGAGAGCTCCTGACCCACTCGCCACCCAGCTCCCTTCTCACCGCACCTCCAGCTCATCCCAAACCACAAGGAGCTTGAACATCCACAGGCAGAAGCCCCAGCCCGTCCAGCCCACCTCACTGTTCTCCCCACAAACACCCGCCTGCACTGCTTGAGTGGGTCCATGGTGGCCGCTCTGGGCTGGCTCCCCTGGGCGCGGGTGGAGGTGAGAAAGGGTCTCTCCAGGTGTGCTCATCCCAGCTGGAGGGTGGCCTTAACTTTCCACTGACACATTAATTAACTGAATTGCAGGATACCAGTTGGTGTTGGGAGAGCTGATTGGTGCAGGGAAACCTGCACCCCTGCACCCCTGATGTCACAAGCATAGTAGTGAAAGTGGCGTGAGTACAAAGGAAAGTAGTTTGTCTTTCCCATCTCACAAGGGACTCTGGTTTTCCTGCTTCAAGACCACTCCTGTGGATACAGGAAAATACAGTTCTTTAATCAATGACCTTTCACTCTTCACCTCCAAGCCAAGAGCCACCTGGCCCCTCAGAGTTGCTGGTCTCACCCCTAAGAGGTGCTTTCCTGTGCACCCACCAGGCCCATGTCGTCTCCCAGGAGTCCATGTCCTGGCAGCCAGGGGGCTCCATGTGGCTGCTCCTTCTGTCCAGTGGCACCAACGGAATAGTCAGGGCCCAGCCATCGCTGGTACGCTACGACTCCGTACACTCTATCTTGCCTCATCAGCCACCTTGAGTATAAGTCACTTTCTCATTTCCGAAGCAGAACTCAGTCTCACTGAACACGTGCCCACTCCTCCATTGCCCTGGTTCCTTCACATACTGAGCTAGCTACCCCCACACTCCAACGTCCCTGGTCATGGGTACAGCCTGCTCAGCTGGCTCCACACATCCCACCTGTGCCACAGTGACCACCTCTCAGGCACACTGTGACCTCCTGGAACACCTGCCATCTGCTATGAACTCACCAGCTAAAACTCCCACAGGAGACCTGTTAGGGTAATGCCCTGGATCCAGGACAGGCTGTGGCCCAAGGGTTCCTTAGTCTCCCTTCCTGACCTCCGTGTGTGTGTGTGTGTGTGTGTGTGTGTGTGTGGCCTCCAGGAGTGCAGGCACCCAAGGGCCTTCATATAATAAGACCATGCTCCAGGGCCAGCTCTGATGGACAGGCAGACGTGTGCCTGGTTCTCAGCACCTCAGGTCAGGGTTCGAGGGTAGAGGCTGCTTTGCCTGCTCTCTGTTGTCTGTATGGTTTTTGAGAGTTTGACAAGTTCAAGATTCCCTGTCCATCCAAGAGAACCACAGCCCTGAGTGAGGACTTTTAAATGTAGGCTGCGCCCTGCTCATCTGAAGCTCTTTATCTGAGCTGGGCATTGCCAACCTCTAAGGACCCCTGACCTACTTCCCCACAAATGGCATAGTGTCCCCTGCATAGCACTTACCACCTCTCCTCCTCAGTAACTGGGGCTCATGTAGCTGGCCAATGAGTGTCACAAAAGCTATGGCCATGCCTTCAGTCCCTACTGAAGGCTCCAGCCCTGAAAGGAGGAGACTCAGGAGGCTTCTGATGGACAGGGGGCAGCCTTGTTCCCTGACAAGGCCTGACTGGGCAGACGGTCCTCCAGCAGGTGAGTCCTGTCCTTCCCTGAGCAAGAGCTCAGCCCTTACTAGAAACGCATGGTCAGAACCGCTCTTTGCTTGTCCACACCGTGCCTCGTCGCAGGGCTTGGCCCTGACAAGCAAGAGCGCTGCCCGGGGGAAGCTGGTGGAGGAAACGGGGCTCACCCTCCAGGTGACAAGGGTAGATGAAAGCCAACTGATGATGGCACAGCAGGGGCGCGAGGACCTGCACCCAGGCCCAGCAGTGAGCAGGGGGTGGAACAACAGGGGAACCACAAAGGTGTGGGCTGACAAGGAGGACAGCACCCGACAGAGTGACACAGCAGACCAGCTGGGAGTGCCAGAGGCCTTAGAGAATAGCCAGTGAAGCACGGAGCGGGTGGGGCATTTGTGCTTGTTCACAATCAGAAAGAGAAAGGATGGGCTGAATGGGTTCAGCGAAAAAGCTGTTGTCTGTAAAAACCCTCACCTCGGTTTGTTATGTGACTCAGTGGAGTCCTTTCACTTGGGCATGAAAAAGTCAACTCAGTAGCTTAAGCAAAAAAGGACAGAAAACAAAGAAAGAAGGGAGGAAGCTGGGCATAGTGGCGCACACCTGTAATCCCAGCACTAGGGAGGCTGAGGCAGGAGGATCGCTGCAAATTCAAGACCAGTCTGGGCTACAAAGTAAGCTCCAGGCCAGCCTTCACTGCATAGCGAGACCGTCTCAAAAAAAAAAAAAAAGAGGTAGGGAGAGAAGGAAGAGGGGAGGAAGGCCTGAGGAGGAAGGGTGTGCCCCAGTGACCCACAGCTCTCCCACTAGACAGTATCTCTTGAAGGCTCCACCCCCTCCAGTGGCCCACACCAGGGATTCCTCCACACCAGCACGCAGCCCCGCCTGGCACCTCTGAGCCGACACCAAGACTCAGTCCAGCAGATAAGGCTGCCATGTGCACCATCACAGCAAGTCCCAGCGCACAGAGACAGTCAGTGACACGCTCAGGGCTGGTCTGCCTACCTGCCACGCCCCGACCACAGAGCTATGGAAACGTACCCCTTTCAGGGGGCGTTTAGGTATGTGGAGGGAAGACATAGCCGGCCATGCAGACATGGGCCTTAAGAAGGTGGCTGTGGCCCTTGGCAGACAGAGGGAGCGGCCTGTGGAAAGGAGGGCCTGGCCAGCCTCCTCTTCCTGACCACTGTGTCCTTGAGAACAGTCCCGGGATGGGGTGTGTGGCACTGCTAGGCAGGTGCGGACTTGTCATTTGTCCCCACGCCCACACGCCCACCTCCATGGGCACACATGATGCTCGAGATCTGGCATACAAAGTGCCCAGGCCAGAGCTTCCAGCACCACACTGCGCTCCTGGGCCTTTGCTTCAGTCCCCCATCAGGGAAGGAACAATGCAGGATGATGTAGAAGAATCTGCAGAGGCACATTTTCCACCGTGTCACGGGCTGCATTTATTAGGGCCATGGGCAGCATGGAATACGGAGCGCGGCTCTGCCTCGGCACTGGGGCAGGCTCTGCGGTCTGCAGGGTGACGGTCACTGCCCTGTGTGCTCCCTTCCTCTCAACGGCCGGTCCCCAGGCAGCCCTGCAACACACAGTGCCCCACACCTGAGCACATCCCAGTGCAAGTTGCCTCAACTTCCCTCAAGGGCACAGTCAGCTCTCAGAATCTACTACGGCTTCCACATGCATGCACAGATTCAACCAACCCTGGATCAAAATAACATTATAAAGGAAAAATAAAACACAATATAACAACAAAAATATGAATTTAAAAACACAGCATAACAACTAATTCCACAGCACCCCCACTGGGTACTGTATGTAAGGCAGAGATGATCTAAATATACCCAAGGACGTCTCCATTCCTCTAGGGCCTAGAGCACCCAAGGGCACAGGACGAAGGCCCGCAGCACGGTAAACGCTTCTGGGGCTGACCGTAAGGCCGACAAGCCTTCGGCATTCTCTCCTGTGGACCTCGAGAAATGGAAGCGGCTTCGTTCCCACACGCAGACCGCGCTTCCCATGAGCCTGGCTCCCTGTTCGGCTGCACACCCTGGCAGAGGCACGGCCCACTGCTGCAGACAAAGGGATGGGCTCGCCAGGGCTGCACTATGGAGCACTGCCCAGGAGCGGCTCCTTCCAGCTTGGCCTGATGCGGGCACCCAGGGAAGGGTTCCGAGCGGAACTCTGCACTCCGGGAGGTGGGAGGCCCACCTGGCAAGTTCATGATCAACCTCGAGTTCTCAGAGGAAATGTGGTTTCCACCACTTTGGGAGATGGTTTATCACTAAGGTTTGTTCTGTGTACTGAAAAAAGACAGATTGGAATGCTAGTGGACACCCTCTTAATAAATCTCTCAAGAAGGGACAGGTACAAAGCAGGATAATCCACATATCTGAGGAGAAAAGCTTTACTAGGAGAAAACTTTTTTTTTTTTCTAAATTTAGTGCTATCAGAGCCAGGTGTCATGACCCATCCCTGTAACCTCAGCATGCAGACAGGAGGCTGAGGCAGGAGGATTGCAAGTTTCAGGCCAATCTTGGCAACTGAGTCAGGTGCTGTCCAAAATTAAAAAGTAAGAGCAGTTGGGGATACAGCTCAGCAGCCCCCAGGTCCTCTCAAGTGACACCACTGTCAGGAGGGAATCTGCTCTCCAGGTGCAAATGGGGAAGGGACAGAGCAGCAGCCACAGCCACCAGAGCTTGGAAGATCTAAGCACTGTGCTGCGCGCAGTGGCCCCACAAGAGGCTAATTCCAGAGCCCGGCTCTAGCGTCCCATTGCTGGCACAGGCCGCCGCTTCACAGCTGGTGCATCGCCCCTCTGTGGGTCAGCACGGGCCCCACCTGCGGTCTCCCAGGAAGACTCTCCTAGCCCAACTCTAAGGAGCACCATGCAGCTCTTATGCCTGTGAGGCATCAGAAGAGCTGAAAGCATGTGCTCACTCGTAAGCACTTTTGACACATGGTATTTTTTTAAAAAAAGCTTTCTTACCATTCTTCTGAAGAGACTGTGGAAGAAGCTTCTCTTTGGCCTGGGAGCTGGGGGAGAGGCCTTCTCCTCCACACGTTTGTTTTCACTGTCATTGATGTCCTTGAAACACCCGGACTCAATCATCTGGTCGCACAGAGGGCAGAGGAGCCGTGGGACACGGTGAGTCAGGGTCTCCCGGTGCCGTCAGCTCCCAGCAGCCTGCCCCAAGGCGGACCCTGCAGACCCCCCACTGCTCCAGTGCCCCTCCCTGGAGTCCCACTGCCCTGCCTCCTGACCTCTTCTTAGGATCAGTAATGTGAACCCCCCTCCCAGTGTACCCCCAAAGTCGCCCTGCTGAGGGAAGAGGATTCCAGGAGGGTGGCACGCCCCACCGGCACAAAGATGGCCACCTCTGTCCACTTCCCGTAACCAGGACCAGAGCAGCTACCATGTTTCTGGCATGGTCTCGGCTTGCCCGTGGTCTAGGCCTGGGGTCAAAAGTCTTGCACAAGTCAGGCTTGGTGGCACACACCTGTAACCCCAGCACTCTGAAGGCTGAGGTAGGAGGGTCACTGCAAGTTCAGGCCCAGCCTGGGCTACATAGTGAGTTCAAGGCCAGCCCAAACTACATAGTAAGACCTTGTCTCAAAAAACACCAAAACAAAACAAGTCTTGGATAAATTCACCTCCCACACTCACACATTTTTGTCATTTGGGAACTAGCATGAACCCGCTCTGCTGGACGTGGCCATACCTCTTTCTGCCAGGGGATGGAGACACACCCTGTTGCAAACTGAGCATAGAAGTTGTCATCTGCGGTGTCCAGGTAGACGCCTTTCACCACGGAGAACCGCCCAATATCTAAGACATCCTTACAATAAATGGCATTTGGCTGTACAGCAAGAACAGAGAGGCGTAACTTACGAGATGGCCAGAATAACTGCCAGCTACAAAACCCAAGTACAAACACTGCTATTCCACCTCCCTCTTTTGAAGCATTTTCCTAATTCATACAAGGCGAGTGCTCTGACCTGGAAGTTCCTGAGATCTTTCTGGAAATGCCCCCTGCTAAACACACACACACTCACACACACACACACACACACCCTCCTGACAGCCCTTCTCTTTGCTCAGTGGAAAACGGATGTTACAAAGCAGGCACGGAGAAGGGTGGGATGAGGCTTCAGCTGGAAGACTCCGGGCAGAACCAGAGCGCTGTGCAAAGCACAGCGACCAGCAGCCGTGCAACCTATGAGAGCCCAGGGTGCCCCCTCCAAGCACCCATTTCCAGACTGTGACAGTGGCAGCACCCTTGTGCCCAGCTGGGCTCCCCAGATGCCACCAGTACCCTCCCTCCTGCCCAGCTCCACGGGTGCAGAGTCCTCCCGAGACCCCACCCTGGCCACGCTGTCCTGGGTGCTGGGGCTGGCCACCTGGCAGGGCTGTCCAGGCCTGAGCCTCCACCTCCTGCCAGAGCAGCAGCTTGTGCTTCCTGGCTGATGACACGGAACAGAGCTCGGAAGCTCCAGGCCCTGTCTGCCCAGGAAGGAGGCGGCCTGTGGGTGTGAGAAAACCATGCCTACCAGAACTCATGCAAACCCCAATGCCAGAGTCAAAGCATGGCACTGTGGTCACGGGCAGCATGGCCCTTATGGCAGCTGCTGTCCGTTCACTCACCCCACGAGGTGGGGAGGCAGGGCCCAGGGAGGGCACCCAGAGACCTGAGTCTGGCCCTGGCCTACACCCCACACCACCCCACACCAGCAGGCCCTGCTTCGGCTGTGACCACGCTGGGCTGTGCTGAGGACCAGCTCCCCCAGGCTCACAGACACAGTCTGGGATGGCCCCATATTCCCCCATGCCCCCCCTCCTCAAGACAGTGGAAATGTCCCTCCCTGGAGACTGCCTTCCCTTCTCCCAACTCCAGGCAGCCTCATCTCGGGCCACTTGGTCCCTCTGACGTCCCTGCCACACAGTGCCTGCAGGACAGTGCCTTCCTAGTGTATGCAGCAGGACGCGCTCCGGGGAGCAGAGGCCTTGCCTGTCTTGTTCTCCCTGTGGCCTAAATTCCTAGAGTGGGGCCTGGCAGGTAGCAGGCTTTCACTAAATCACTAGGAAGAAGTTACTATTACGGCATACAAGTCTCAAGTGTTCTGAACATGTGAGTTATGAACTTTCTCAGGTGTATAGTGTAAGACTCACTTTGTTGGCTTACGAACGAATCCCACTTATGAACAATTCTCCCAGAATGGAACCTGTTCCTAAGGCAGGAACCTGCTGTATAAAGTAAACCTAGGAAGTCCTACAGCTGAAAATATCGTCAATGTACATCTATCTTAATTCCATCAAACCCTGCAAATTCCCTTACCTTCAAATGTCTAGAACAGTGGTGGTGAACCTATGGCATGCTCTCTGCAGCGGGCTGTCTGTATCATTGAAAGCTCTGTTACTGTGTTTTTCTTTTCATGTTTGAGCTGTTTTTTTCTAAACTAAAACATCAGTGTTCAGGTTTAACTGCAGTGTTGGGACTTTGCAATAAATAAGTGGGTTCTGGGTTGCAGTTTGGGCTCTCGTCTCTAAAAGGTTCACTGTCACTGCTCTAGAATGTAAATGTCACAGCCGATTCAGGCGAGAGTCCAGCCTGTGTTCATTCATTCATCTGCTCATCATTTATATGCACCAAATCCCTGGCAGGTACTGGCAAGGCCAGGCCTGTGCTGAACCCTTTGGAGATGTGATCTCATTTGGTGCAAACAGGAAGGCCCCAAGGAGGCACAGCACAGCGCTGTGGGGGGGTCCTGTGGGGGCAGTGTGCAGACTAACACAGCAGCTGCGTGCAGTATGGGAAGGTGGCACAGGACGGAAGGGAGAGCAGCTCCGAAAGGCACCCTGGGATGTCTGCAGTGGTGCATGGGTCTCTGGGAAGGGCAGCAACAGCTGACAGCGGACCCTGGGCCCTGGAGACATAGTGTTTCTAGGAAGGTGACAGGGGACGAAGGAAAAAGCAGCAATGATGGAGCAGAAGCCACACCCGGGCTGTTCCTGGGGACTCTGTATCTGCTTCAACCACAAGTGTGTTCCTGGGGACCCAGGGACTCCAGGCAGTGTACTCACATCGGGACGGAAAGGAGGCTCTAGCATATTTGCCTCCAGCCTGCTGAAGTTAATGTCCTTGAACACAGGGTGTTTCTTCACCCCAGCAGCACCGTCGCCCTTGCAGCCCAGCCGTTCATTTGGATTCTTGGCGAGCAACTACGCAAGGCAGAAACAGTCAGTGTCAGGGTCTGCAGGGAGATGTAAAGCCGCCCTCCGTGGTGACTGAAGGGCTGGGGCCGCCGAGGGCACCAGCATCTAAACAAACACAGCCACGCGTCCAGTTCTGACTATTAGCCAAACTGCCAGATCTTACGCATTAGAGGTAGGCTGCTTCACAGAAGGTGGGGCTCAAGTTTTCCCTTTGAGCTCTCAATAAGTAAGGGTTTGGCTAAGTTAAATCCTTAAGTAAAAAAATTTAATTATGAAAAATTAGAAGATTCTACAAAGGAAATAAAACTACTGAGGACTTCAAAGATACCACTGTAAAGCTGTTATACAGTTTAATTAGAAACCACTTTTCATCTATTCATTAAATAGATCTCTAACGGCCTCAGGGGAGGCAAAAATTTAGTAAAATTCTTTCCAGAAATTGTATATTCTTTAAATTAATAGAAAATGCCTCCAAAGTATCCTTACAAACATATTTACCATTGGCACAAATTCAAACAAGCCTTGTTCCATGATTATAATTATCACAATTGTGAATCAGAAAAGGTCATGCCGCTAGCAGTGGTGCCACATGACTATAATCGAAGCTGCTCAGGAGGCTGAGGCACAGAACTGCTTGAGCCCAGGACTTCAGGGCCAACCTGGGCAATGCAGCAAGAGCCTGTTTGCTCTACAGCAAAGCAACACACTAAAGGTCCAGAGCTCTGCACACAGCCAGGACAGGGCTGGGACACGAGAGCCAGGGCCACATGCCACCAGCTGCCTACTTTTAAAGTAAGGCTTTGCTGCCACACAGCCATGGCCTGGTTTACCCCTGCTGTGACTGCTGAGCACCGCAACAGCACCACTGAGGTTGTTGTGGAGACCTGCGATACCCAATGATGACTTACAGAGGAACCTGCTGACCCAGGCCAAGGCAGATGCCCACTCCTCCAACTTCCCCGAGTATGAATCGTGGAATCACGTCCCGGGCCTGGAAGACAGTCTGGTCTGCTTCTCTGAGGCCCCTGCGCTTGCTCCGCCCTCAGGCTCTGAGCTGTTTGCCTTCCTGGGCTTTGCTGTGCCTGGGCCTGAGCTCCCCAGGCTACAGCTCCCTGAGACCTATGCCCAGCACTGGATCAGGCTCCCCTCTTCCAAAAGGACAGCCTCAAACATCCTCCACTCATCCATGTGACTCTAGGCACAGCAGATGCAACAACCCTTTGGGTAACTGTGCTTCCAGCCTCCACTCACTCCTCTCGAAGCTCCCAAGGCAGAGGCTGTGTCCCCAGCACCTCAGCAGAGCAGGTGCTCAATAACAATTGCTCAGTGCATTCGTTCTGCACATGCTTTGTAAATCTGCAACAGATCTGAAAATTAAGTGTAATGCCAAATACTCTTCCTGCATCTCAAGGGATCCCTGACTCCAGCATTAGGTGTGCTCTCAACATCCCCAGCTGAGGGCTGCAGTGGTTTCAACAGTCACATGTTGAAACTCGATCCTCAAAGCCACAGTATCAACAGGTGGGGACTTCAGGGGGCGAAAAGGGCATAAGGACGGGGCCCTCAAGAATGGGACTCATTCCTTATCCAAGGTCCGAGGGAGCCTGCTTGCCTTGCCACCATGGTAGGCCACAGTGAGAAGCTGGCTGCTACAAGCCAGAACTCGAGCCCTCACCCGACACCGGGTCTGCTGGCACCATCTCGGCCTTCCACGCTCCAGACTGTGAGTGGGACATTTCTGGTGATTATCTGCTCAGGGATTCTACTACGGCAGCCCGAGCACATCAAGACGTGGCCTGCAGGCAGCACAGGATTGTGCCTGGGCACTGGGACTCCTGCTGCTACTTACTGTGAGTCACAGAAACAAACAGAACTTTTCACTATCTTAGCCATCCACTGTGAAGAGTAAATGAGATACCGAAAAGTAGAAAAGCATACAAGTGTCAGGGAAGTCTGACTTCCCACCTGGATTACTGTGAAGAGCCAACCGTTCTCCTTCCTCTTCTCACGTCTCCCCACTCCCTGTGAGCTAACACCCTAACCTCACACCACACCTGGCTCATTCCTTCTGCGATGTGTGGGTGGCACACAGGCCCTGTGACAGCACATGAAGAGGGCGTGAGGGCTACGCACACCCGAGCCTGGCCCGGGCGCAAGGCCCATCCCTGCAGGAGCACCTCCTCTCTGCTCCTGTTCAAGTTAGCAGTGAATCCTGAGCTGTCTGCCTCCATGCTGTTGGTTGGACGTGAAGCCGTTCCTCAGGGACCAGCTGCTGAGGATGGGGACGCGCACCGAATGCCCGGTCTTCATTATCTCACTGCCTCGGGAGTTGTCTCACTGACGGAGGGGGGCTCGGGAGGTCATCTCGTCACAGGGAGCTGAGAATCCCCGGACACACTGCCCGCTGCCTGGTCACCAGATTCAGCACAGCGGGATTTCATCTTAAAAATCTTTAAGCCCTTGTTTCTGTCCTGTTCATAGCACCCACCAAATTCTACTTTTCTTCCTTCATCATTGTTAAGGGTTAGGCCTAATGTTAAATTGTGAGCTTCTCAGGGACAGGCTCTACTTCTGTTTTTACATCCCTGCAGCCCACCAGACTGCCCTGTGTGTAGCACGCACTCACTCCCATTTATCAAACTGAACAGAAGCAGAGCTCAATCAGAACGTTGTGAAATGCTGTCAGTTCAGCAGTAAGCCTGTAACACACATCACTTTGTATGTGGAAATAAAATGAAAAAAGACCAGAATAATTATCGTCCAGTCACTGCCACTCACATAGCTACAGTACAATTGCTGGTGATTCCAACACAGATGCAGGGGACCTGTGCCTGGCTGCTCACGTTCCATCCCTGCCCCTAAAAGCCACTCTCACCCTGTGGCACAGTCTCGGCATCCCAGGACCAGCAGGCCCTTGTCAGCTCCACTCCAAGCAGCTTCCTCTCTGTGTCTGCCTGCCCTCCTGTGTGCTGGCTCCTGTCCCCTCCTGGGGCTTCTGCTCAGGCCATCACATTGGAGCCTCCCCTCCACACTGGCAAATCCTACAGGCTCTGGTTTCAGATCTATCCAGAATCTGATCCCTTCTCATCTCTGCTCTGCCACCCCCATGTGGACCTGAGCTGCTGCAAAGTCCCTGCCAGCCTCCCTCCTGCCAGCACTCTGTCCTTACATCCTGCCACCCATGCAGTTTTCCCTTCTGTAGCTCCTGGGGCCCCCGTCCTCCATGCCCGGGCCATCTTCTGTCACCACACACCAGTGCTCCTGGTTCTATTCTTGTCTGTCCCCACCCACCCTGCTACAGGATCAGGCACTGGGAGGGCTGAGCCTCTGTCTGCTTTACTGACAGCTATATCCCCAGGGCCTAGCACAGTGCCTGGAATTGAGATGCTCAATGAATCCTTTAAAAATGTAAAAAAAAAAAAAAAAAAAAGATGATTTAAGGTAAGTAATAAAGACAGCTTCTCTCAATTTAGCATCTGGGCAGGCTCGGTGATGTAAATAGTCAGCTCCAAGGGCACACAGAACCCAGCACTCCTCGTTCCGTTCGTGCCTGGTGGGCAGGACCCAGGCTCTGGCCCCGCTGTGGCACAGGATGCTCACAGCAGCCTGGAGGCGGTGGCATGCCAAGAAGCCTATCTGTCCGGCACCACCATGCAACAGGTGCCATAGCCTGCGAGTCAGATGTCTGTAATTCGGGCACTGGTTTAGAGGGAAGAATGGGCAGAGACAACCTTCCCATCTCAAAAGACATCAAAGGTTAGTTTTAGGTCTCATCTCACACACAGCCGGTCAGTGAGGCAATTCTCAGCTGTGTTCTGAAGACAAAATGCTAACTGTGGCCCCTCTCCTCCCTCTCAACAGCGGCCTCTGGAAAAGGAAGCCACGCTTTCCTTTTGACTTTTACTCTGCTTTCATCAGAAACCCAATGAAGTCGCTGCGCAGCTCAGATCGGAACTGTTTCCCCCCCGCCTTTTAGTGTGACTGAGAGGAACCCCAGGCAGGTGGCTGGAAAGGGAGCGGCAGGCTGTGTGCCTCCCAAACCTCTGCCTGCTGGGCAAGGCTTCTGAGGCTGGGCACCACTGGCCCCTGCCCACCTGAGCACTACAGTGTCCCCAGCTGGCTGCAGACAAGGAGCACGAGCTAGATGTCTACCTTCCCGGTGCCGCGGACCCGGACCCACCATCCTGCAGATGGATTTGGTGTCCTCTGAGAACTTCTCTGAGTATTCCTCCGTGTCCTTCCGCACTCTCCGCTCGACCTCTTCCCGCTTGACTTTCTCTTTGGGCTTTCTGAATGGACAATGTCCCTGAATCATTTCATATATCAGACAGCCAAGTCCCCACCAATCAGGACTAAATGAGTACTTTTCATTATTGATAACTTCTGGAGCTACATAACAAATATAGGAAATTTAATTAAATTTTTGTTTTAAATTTTCCCTTCCAAATAATACATTATAAGTGTAAGTGTTCGTTACAACATGGATGAACCTTAAAAACAACTGAAAGAAGGCAAATACAAAGGACCAAATACTGTTTGAGTCTATCTGTATGAAACAGAAAAGCCAGGCATGGTGGCACACAGTATGATCCCAACACACTGGGATGCTGAGGCAGGAGGATTGAAAGAAAGTATAAGCCTGGCCTGGGCAACTTAGTGACTTAGTGAGACCCTATCTCAAAATAAAAAATAAAAAAGGGCTGGGGCTATAGCTCAGTGTGAAGGCCCTGGGTTCAATCCCTACTACTGGAAGAAAAAAAAAAAAAAGAATTCACAAATCTATAGGGATGGAAAACAAACTGTGCTTGGCAGGCCCAAAGGCACCCTTAATCCTATTAGGTTTCTTTTCAGGGGATAAAAAATGTTCTGCAATTAGTGCTGATGGTCATACAACTCTGCAAATAAACTAAGATCCAAAGCATTACACATAAGCTGTACGGTATGATAGGTGGATGCTATCTGAATGAAGCTGTGGTTTTAAAAGTTTCTCTGCTCATTCTGGAGGAGGCGAATTGCTGCATGGCTCAGGGTTTGTGACAAGGGACGACAGTGCTATAGGGAAGACCATCCTGAGGGTGCTCCCTCCACCCAGAGCCACCCAAGGGTCCCAAGTACCCTGCCAACGTCTGATCCTCTGCTCCTTGCCTGAACATGTGGGTGACTATGTCACCTATGCTGTGAATATCCCAGACACCAGCAAGGGCAGGAACAGGGAGGAGGTCTCCTGTAAAGCTCCAAGAGGCCACCAGAGAGACACTGGCCCTGCCCACAGAGCGTGGGAATAACCACATCACAGTGGTTTCCCAGGGGGCCAGCATGGCCCTACACCCTCATATGACCAGAGACCCCAGGCTCAGAGCCCTCTGTGGGCCTCACTGCTTATCTGTATAAGGGGCTGCAGACCAAGGGACCCCTCCTCACCCTATGGAACTTCTCCAGGTGCTGGGCAGGAAAGCATGAGGACCACTGAGGTGGCCTGTCACCTACCCATGTAGCCAACGGTTCCAACCCTTCCTCGCACCATCTGGCCTTCCGGGATCTCCACGGCTAAACCAAGATCTGAAATCCGGATGTGCCCTGTGAGTGTTCAAATACGACGCACAGATCACGGGGAGAAGCAATGGCATTTCAGCACATTAGCAATGGGGGAAAACCCTCTTGAAAGTCACAGATGACAGCACAGCATTTCATACTATGGAACCTTTAAACCTAAAATAACATTTAACTTGTTCTCATTTAGTAAAATTCCATACAGTGCATTAAGCTTCACTAACAGCAGGAGATCAGATTTACTCCTGGGAAAGCTCTTTAATCACACACAACAACTAGGTAAGACAGAAACACTGTGTTTTACTTCTATGGAGCTGCCAGGCACATGTATACAAAGAAACTGAATAGTGTACCAACTACAAAGAGCAAGCAAATGACTCCTATTAGAGAATCACTAGGGTTATACATAGGGGGACAGCTATAATAAGTGATATAAAGTTATTTTTTTCTGGACAAGTGATTTAAAGGTTTTTTTCTGGAAAAGAGTCAGGGAAATAGTAAAATTAAGGTACTTGGAAAAGTATACTATGTGTGAATGCCTTGCATACAGGAGGCTATCAACACATGTTGAATTCCCATGAAACTTATTGTAGAAAATAGTCTTATAAGGATAACTGTCATTGAACTTGGATATGCCCTAACGACCTCATTTATTTATACATTTATTTACTGCAGCACCAAGGCTTAGGAGGGGTATAAAAAAAGAGATCAAATAAAGCAAGATGTGAGCCAACAAAAAATATTAATTGGAGGGTAAATGTTCTTATTTTGAGTTTCCCTTCACATGCTTTGAAAACTCAATGATTAACTGAAAATCTAACCATCTCTGCTTCTTGCATAAATACAGGAGATGACAATGCTATCTATGCTGTATTTTTGAAACACACACACCAAATAAATTCCTTTGGTGCTATTTCTACTCTGCATCAACTCAGCCAAGCACTTTAAGCTTCTGTATCAGGTCCCTCTATGAAGTCTATGCCTAGGTATGAAAGGCTGGCTCACTCACCATAGTCATCCAGGAGAATATTCTCTGGCTTTAGGTCTCTAAAGGGGAAGAAACAACAGGCCCAGTTATTCAGAAGACAGTACTGTGATTCCAAAGTGTCCAGCAGAAATGACCACAGGTCCACAGATGTCTCCACGGTGACAAGCAGTAGCCAGAATAGCACAGCAGCAGAGAGCAAAGCCATTTTGCACTGAACTACATCCCCACCCCTTTTTATTTATTAATTTGAGACAGGGTCTCAATAAGTTGCCCAGGGCTCAGACTGGGAATCCTCCTGCCTCAGTCTCCCAGGGTGCTGAGATTGCAACATGTGGCACCATATCAGGTTGCAAAACCACCTTTTCTTTTTCTTTTTTTAAACCGCCCTTTTTGAGCCCTTCATGTTGTCACAGGCTCTCATGACAATAGGCAAGTCAGGAATACTACAAAATTTGTCTCAACAAACAATTTACATATGGTGACAATATAATGAACTGCTCTGGATTTTCATGCAGATATGAAGACATTTCAGTGAGCAAGTGTAAATCCCAGTAAGAGGGAAAGAAAGCAATCAGCCCTTAATAAACGTGGCTCTTAATGAAGCCTGGCTGACGAGGTGACAGGGAAATACTGTGGGGTCACAGCAGGGCATGGTGCAATGGGATCAGACTTAGTAAGACCCTGTCTAAATGAAAAATAAAATTTAAAATGGATACAAATGTAGCTCAGTAAGAAGGCGCTGGGTTCAATCCCTCCAACACACACAATTCAACTGAAAATGTCCTATATTAGAAGACCTCAGTTATGGAGTTAGGCAAGTGTGGATTCAAATCTTGGCCGTGCCACTGATCAGCGGTGCGGTCCTTACCTCTCTGAGCCTCACATTTCCATCTGTAAGAGGGAGGAGTCACTACCCATCCATTCCATGCTACTACAGAGTCTGGATGAGACCATGTTTTCCGTCAGGAAGCATGTAATAAACAGCAGTTACTATGACTCATAGCTTATTGTAGAAGTAGAAAGGTGCTGCAAAATTGTAAGAAATTTAAATCACATAAAGACTAAACTTTCTTCTTCTCCTTCTCCTTCTTTCTTTCACTTTAGTACTGGGAGACAAACCCAGGGCCCAGTGCATGCTAAGCAAGTGCTCAGCCACTGAGCTATCACCCTAGCCAAAAGACTAAAATACCTTCAAGGTAACATCTAAAACGATTTGGTTTTTTTCCCTTCAGAAGAAAATCTTGCTTTCAAAGAATTTATATTTTATCCTGATTTCACATTTGACCCTCTGACAAAAAGCCAGCTGCTCTCACTTCTGGGAAGATGGTGGAGTAGTGAACAGCAGAGAAACAACCTCTCCAAGACCTGCTGTTCAGAACTGGAATATAGCAGTGTGAGAATGCGAAAAAGGAGGGAAGTGGGTCCCCAAGACCCAGCAAGGATCTGAAGCCCATGCATGGGGAGAGTGAAGAGAAAGACTTCAAGAAAGAAGTAGGAGGTTTTGGGGCTTGCTCCCTGAGCCCTGACTTACTGCATGGAATGGGTGGCTCAAACCTGCACACGCACAGTGACTACTGGCGACCCCAGAGCCCTCCACGGAGAAATGCACCAGTGGAACAGAGCAGTGGATGCAGTGGACTGCAGTGGCTGGTGAGTTGTTCAGGTTCAGACATCCCCCAGGAGAGGGTGATTGGCTGGTAGCCTTTTTGGAGAGGGGCAAACTGAGCTCAGAACTCAGAGCAGCTGCGGCCGGCTCCATCTAGTGGCGTCCAGTGTCAGAGTGAGGCAGAACCAAGGTCAAGTCTGCAGGAGGCCAAGGACCTGACCTGAAGCCAGCAGGAACTTGAGTACAAGCCAGCAGGAAGCACACAGAGGGTTGCAGGATGAACAAATCAGATTCCAGCCTCATAGCCAGAAACCAGCATGTATTTTGGTGGAACTAAAGGCACAGGCTTGCTGGATTATCCACTGCCCTGATGTAAATCTATGGTTGGCTTGCTGGGATTAATCAACATGGATCTGGATTCCGTCTGCCCACTTTGTCTACCAGTGACAGCAGAGACACGCCTTAAAGTGGGTATTTTTTTCCTTATTTTCTTTTCTTGTTTTTGTTTTCACCAAAGGCAAACCCAGGAGGCAATAAGATGGAACAATCTGAGAGCCACCCACCTGGACTCTCTGAAGTGGTAATGGTAGAAGTAACAAAGCAGGTGAATGAGGCAAAAAAAAAAAAAAAAAAAAAAAACTAATCAGAGATGGTGACCACAATAGAAGACATGGTTAGTGACTCCAAAGCAAATACAGATTTTTAAAACCCAGAAGGGCTTAGGAAAATGATGGAAATCATGAATGCCCAACATAGGAAAGAAATGAAATCAGTGAAACAGATTCAAAAAGATACCCAGGAGATTAAAAATACCACTGAAAGTATATGCAGCAGAATGAGCCAATGTGAGGTGAGAATAGAATATCAGATAGAGAAGACTGGATTGCGGTTAAGAAGGTGTTGTGGTTTGTGTTCGGATGTCCCCCCAAACTCTCATGCAGTCTTGGGGCAGGCTTCTAGAGTTTATGATTGATTCATGGTCAAATGTTGGGATTATGTGTGTGAGTGCTACACCTGTCCTGGGGTGGGTAGTTTGCATACAATGTAAGAGAGGGAAAGAGGCTTGCCTGCTGCCACTCCCCTCTTTTTTGCTCTTGCTGCATTTGCTATCTTGTGCTACCTTGAAGTACTGCCTCTATGCCCTGCCACCCTGCCTTGGAGTCAGCTGATTATAGACTGAAACCTCTACAAATTGGAAGCTAAATAAACCTTTCCTTCCTTAATTCTGGGTATCAGGTATTCTGTCTCAACAATGAAAGAAAAGTAACCAAGACAGAAAGATTTCTTAAAAATAGCAAGGGACCACTAAAAATCAGTCCAACAGTTGCTAGATGATGCAAAGAAGACTATAAGGTTGATCAGACTCAACGAAAAAGCAAGAGATAGCACAAACAATATTAAAAAAAAAAAAACCTGTTCACAGATGCCATGGCAGAAAACATCCCAAACGGGGAAAAAGAATTTGACATACAGATAAGTGAGACATATAGAACTCCAATTAGCTATGATCAAAAAACTACATCAAAGCATATAATAATCAAGAAATTGTTAGAGAAAGGAAATGAATCACCTACAAAGGAAAAATCAGAATCACAGTATACTTCTCAACACAAACCTGCAAGTCACGGAGAGCTTGAAAAATTTTAGGCACTAAAAGAAAACAACCTCCAACCCAGATTAAAGCTCCCTGCAAAATTATCTTTCAAAATTGATGGAGAAATAAGATACTTCTGTGACAAAGAACATATGAAGAAATGTATGATCACTAAACAAGCACTCCAAAATGTTCTGAAAGACATTCTAGAAAGAGATAATGAGGACTACAACTCCATGAATCCCAACATAATGAACCCACCAGGCAAGGCAAGCAATTAAACAGAAGTGGGAAAAGGGAACCAACAATAAGTCAGTACGTATCAGTTATAACCATGAATGTAAACAGTCTCAATTCACCAAACAAAAGATTGGCAAAATGGATCAAGAAGCAAGAATCAACAATATGCTGTATACAAGAAACATGTGATAGTCAAATGATGGAAAACAATACTCCATGTGAGAGGAACCTCGAAAAAAGCACAGGTAGATATTCTATTTATAGACAAAGTGGATTTCAAGCAAATACTGACTAAGAGAGACAAAGAAGGTCACTACATCCTTGTAAAAGGAACAACCCAAGAGGAAAATATAGCAGTTATAAATATATATACACCAAATACCAGCACACCCAACTATATAAAACAAATATGAACAGACATGAAAAGTCAAATAAACATTAATACAATTATAATGGGGGACCTCAGTACCCTACTGTCACATATACATCAACTCAACAAAAAATCAACAAAGACATATCAGAACTGAACCAAACTTTGGAACAAATGGACTTAGTAGATGTCTACAGAGTGTCCTACCCAACAACATCAGAATACATATTCTTCTCAGCTGCACATGGAATGTTCCCCAAAACAGACCACACACTATCTCATAGAAGTAAATGCAAAAAAAAATTTTTTTTTTGCTTTTCTCTTCTTTATCTCTTTCCTTCCAAAGTTTTTTCCTATTTTACAATATCTATTATACAGTTTGGATCTTATTTACTCTTTCAGCTTCTCACACTAGGGAGACAATATAATGTATACACATGTGTATCTGGTTTATTTCCCTTATGAGTATGGTCTGAATTAATGCAAAGGAATTAAAATCATCCCACGCATATTATTAGATCATGGTACAATGAAATTGTAAATCAATGGCAAAAGAAACCACAAAAATGTCATAAACACCCCAAGTTAAATAACACCCTCCTGAACAACCAGTAGATCACAAATGAAATTAAAGAAGAAATTAAAGTAATACCAATAAAGGGGCTGGGGATTTAGCTCAGCGGCATAGCGCCTGCCTGGCAAGCGCAAGGTCGTGAGTTCGGTTCCCGGTACCGGAGAAAAACCAAACAAAATAAATAAATAAATAAATAAATAAAGTAATGCCAATATGACACACTAGAACTAATGGGACCCAGTGAAAGCAGTCCTATGGGGGAAATTTATAGTGGCAAATTCTCATGTCAGAAAAACAGAGCAAGCTCAAGCAAACAATCTAACGTTGAACCTCAAGCTTCTAGAAAAAGAAGAGGAAGTCAAGCCCAAAGCTCATATGAAGAAGGGAATTATAAACATAAGAATGGAAATTAATGCAATGGAGACTAAGAAAATAATACAACAATCAATGAATCAAAGAATTGGTTCTTTGAAAGATTAAATAAAAAAAAGATTAAATAAAATTGACAGACCCTTAGTCAACCTTTATCAAAAAAGGAAAGAAAATACACAAATCTATGGAATTAGGAATGAAAAGGGTGAAATCACAATAGATCCTGCACAAATCCAGAAGCTCATCAATACTTACTTTGAGAAGCTGTATTCTAATACAATGGAAAACACAGAAAAAGATGGACAGATTCCTAGATACATATGAATAACCAGGCCTGAATCAAGAAGATATAAAAATCCTAAATAAACCAATATTAGTCAGTGAAATTGAAGCTGTAATTAAAAACCTACCAATAAAGCAAAACCCAGGGCCTGATGGATTCTCTGCTGAAATCTACAAAAAATTTAGAGAAGATATAATGCTGTTACTTCTCAAAGTCTTTAGTGGAATTGAAAGGGAAGCAATACTCCCAAGTTCCTTCCTAGAAGCAAGAGTTACCCTGATACCAAAACCAGAGAAGAATCTGACCAAAAAAGAGAACTACAGGCCAATCTGCTTGATGAACACAGATGCAAAATCCTCAGTAAGATACTGGCAAACAAAATGCAGCAAATCATCAAGAACATTATACACTATGGCCAACTAGGGTTCATCCCAGGGATGCAGGGATGGCTCAACATGCACAAATCAATAAATGTAATACACCATATTAACAGAGCCAAGGACAGGGCCAGGGATATAGTTCAGTGGCATAAGTGCCTGCCTGGCAAGCACAAGGTCCTGAGCTCAATTACCAGTACAAACAAAAAGAAAAGAAAAATAACAGAGCCAAGGACAAAAACCATATGATCATCTCAGGAGATGCAGAAAAAGCATTTGACAAAGTCCAACACCCATTCATATTTAAAAAAAAAAAAAAAACCTACAGAAAATTGGAATAGATGGTCTTTATCTCAAACTGATAAAAGCCACCTATGCCAAACCAACAGCCAACATCATACTAAATGTACAAAAACTGAAAGTTTTCACTCTAAAATCAGAAATAAGGCAAGGATGTCCACTGTCACCATTATCACCACTATTATTCAATATAGTTCTGGAAACCTTAGCCAGAGCATTTAGACAACAGAAATAAATAAAGGGAATAACAACAGGAAAGGAAGAAGCCAAATTATCATTATTTGCAAATGACATGATATTCTACAGAGAAGACCCAAAAAATTCCACCAAAAGACTTCTAGATTTAATAAGCAACTTCAATAGCATAGCCGGATACAAAGTCAACACTCAAAAATCAATAGCCTTCCTGTACATGAATAACAAACTCAATGAGAGAGAAATCAGGGAAACATCACCTTTCACAACAGCATCTACAGAAAATGAAATACTTAGGAATCAACCTGACAAAGAAAGTAAAGGACTTCTACACTGAAAACTACAGTACTCTAAAAAAAGCAGATTGAAGAGGATATCAGAAAATGGAAAGATATCCCTTGCTCTTCAGTAGGAAGAACCAATATAGTGAAAATAGCTATACTTCCAAAACTGTTATACAGATTTAATGCAATTCTGACAAAAATCTAACAGCACAGCTCACAGAATTCTAGAAAACAATCCTAAAATTCATTTGGAACCAGAAGAGACCTAGAATAGCAAAGGCAATTCTGTTCAACAGAGGTAAAGCAGAGGGCATCACAATCCCAGTCTTGAAATTATGCTACAAAGCTACTGATTAAAAACAGCATGGTACTGGCAAAAAAACTGACCCAAGGATCAATGGAACAGAATAAAAGTTGCAGAAACAACTCCAGACATACTCAGCCACTTTATCTTTGACAAAGGAGCCAAACACCTCATTGGAAGAAAAAATAGCCTCTTTAATAAGTGGTACTGGAAAAACTGGCTTTCCATGTGCCAAAGATTAAAACTAGACCTATATCTTTCACCATGCACTAAACTATAATTGAAATGGATCAAAGATCTGAATATTAAAAGAGAAACACTAAATCTGCTGGAAGATAGCTAGAACTATTAAAGACATAGGTGTAGGCAAAGACTTTATGAACAAAACTCCAATTGCACAGCAAATATCACAAAGAATCAACAACTGGCATCTCACTGTATTAAAAAGCCTTTGCATAGCAAAAAAACCACCAACAGTGTGGGAAAAAGTGCCAGCTGTTCCTCAGACCATGGACTAATATCTAGAACATATAAAGAAATCAAAGCCAGGTGTAGTGACATATACCTGTAATTCCAGCACTCAGGAGGCTGAGGCAGGAGGATTGCTGTGAGGTCTAGGCCAGCCTGGGCTACAAAATGAGTTCAAGGCCAGTCTGAACTACACAGTGAGACCCTGTCCTAAGAAACCAAGTAAATCAATCAATCAATCAATCAATCAGACCCCCACATTTAACGACCCAATCCAAAAATGGGCATCTGAAATTAGTAGACACTTCTCAGATGAAGAAGTAACAGCTGCAAATAAATATATGAAAAAATGTACAACATCCGTGGTTATCTGGGAGATTCTCATTATAACAATGCTGAGATTCTATCTCACCCCAAAAAGAATGGCTATTATGAAGAAATCAACCAATAACAAATGCTGGAAGTGCTTTGGAGAAAACGGAACCTTTTCCATCGGGGGTAGAGACTGGTGCAACCACTGTGGAAAGCGTGGAGATTCCCCCAAAAACTAAAACTGGGCTGGGAATATAGCTCAGTGGCATGCTGCCTGCCTGGCAAGCATGAGATCCTGAGTTAGATTCCCTGTTAAAAAAAAAAACCTAAAACTAGAGGCTCCATTGGACACAGCTATTGTAACCTTCCTGAAAGAATTAAAAACATCATACCACAGCAATATATGCACATCCATGTTTATAGTGACACAGTCTGTAATAGCTAAATCTTGGAAATAGCCCAAATGCCCATCAAGTAATGAATGGATAAAGAAGATGTGGGGTTTTTTTATACAGTAGAATACTACTTTGCCATAAAGAAAGATAAGCTTGAGACATTTTTGTAGGCAAACAGATGCACCTTGAGATCATACTCATAAGTGAAATAAATCAGACACACATTTAAATACTGCATTGTTTCTCTGGTATGAGAAACCCAAAGTGTAAATAAGGACCACGATGTATAATAGATATTGGGAAATGAGGAGAAAATGTTCAAATGACAAAGGAAATAAGCGAGAGGGAAAGGGAAAAGAAAGAAGGGACAAGAAAAACAGAGAATAGAAGGGAAAATGGAAAAAAAGCTTTTGTAAAGGGAAGGAGTGGTTAAAGGGAGAAGAGGGGAAAAATAGAATAAACAAGGTATATCACGCATAGTACAAATTCCCTATGATGAATGTGATCATTATTTTATCTGAAATGTACCAATAAATAAATACACACACACACACACACACACACACACACACACACACACACACACACACGAAGTCCAGCTGCCCTAAACAGCATTGCCAATCTGTGGATACATCAGTATGGCCCAGGAGGAGGGTCAGATTCAGATGACCACCTTCTCCACAGAAATAGTGGCCAGGGTAGCAAGTGCCCCCTTGCTCAATGACACAGAGCGGGGCCATGTCAGTCCCACTGCCATGCTGGCAACCCATCATAGTTAACCTGCCCAGGGAATGGGAAGGTGAAGAGAAATCTAGTGAGGTCATAGGCAGGGCTTTTTCAGAGTTGGCTGAATCCGGAGTGTGTGATGCTGGGATTAAGGGTGGGTGACTGCTGGATCAGTCCCCTGATTGGCTTGGCACCACCCTAATCTCAGTAGCCTGGATACAATATAAGGGACAGAAAAAGACTTGTCTTGTCCCTTGCTTGCTTTGCTGCCTTCTCTCCGCCATAAATTATTTCTCTTCTGTGATGCCTGTTGGCCATGCCACCCTGCCTTGGAGCCAGCTGATTATGGACTAAAACCTCTACCAACTATGAGCTAAATAAAAATTTCCCCTTTTAACTCATGTGTGTTGGTTATTTTGTCTCAGCAACAATAACTAATGAGAACTAAGACACTTGCCCATGGGGTGGGTAGGAGAAGCCTCAGGCCCATCAGGATAGGAACAGAAAGATTAGGGCTTCCAAAAAGCTCAAAGTCTGGCCTGCCCAGCTCCAGAGTGGCTGCTGCCCAGAGCCCTGTGAGAATGTTAGAGGAGCACTCATGCTGTCGGAAAGGAGAAGGCAAGCAGGTGGTCCTCACGTGACAGGAACAGGCCGGTGGTGACATGGGCATCCCTGGAGGGACCGAGAAGTTCTGAGAATGCAATATGCTCCGTGACAAAGGCAGGGGACCCACGTGAGGCTGGAGAAGTGGGTGCTACCCAGACAGGGTCATGAAGCCTGGCTGACAAGGTGTCGGGGAGATCCTGTGGGGTCCCACACCAGGGGACGGTGCAACGGGATCAGAGCTGTGTTCAGAAATGCCAACCAGCTCAGGAAGACCTTCCAGGTCTCTGTCAGCCTCAGACCCAAGGAAGACATGAACCGCACCAGTCACCCTGGACACCAGCAATGCGTGGGAGATCCTCAGGATGAGCTGGAGAGCAACTGGATGGAAGGACAAAGGTAAGAGGAGTCCAGGAAAAAGGGCAAGACTGAAAATTCCTATTAGGGAATGAACGGCTACCCTGGCAGACGAAGCACAGAAGGGAAGGAATGGAAGTGCCCAGCGAGAGTGAACAAGCAGAGATGCTGAGCTTGGGAACCCCAGCACTCAAGGGACAGGCGGAAGAGCTGCTCTCCTAAAACGAATTATACTGATCACATGAATTCTGATTAATAAGTTTACTTCCATTTTCTTTGCTTAATTCTACGGTGCAATAAAACAAAGTATTATTTGAAGACATTTAATAATATTCTCTTAGACACGGTGAATATCCTTTCCAGAACTTTTGAAGTATCTCAGAATCTTGGAAGAGAGCTTTCTCAGACCTTTATCTGATCTATTTAAGTAAAAAACAAACTTCTGCTTCAGGAAGAGAATTTACTAGGGATTAAAGAGAAAAGTAGGGCACCCCTTGACCAGCCAAGTTCCAAAGTGTGACATACCCCCAGGGACTGCATCAGGCTCTCAGCTGCCCCCGCCCACCCACCAGCAGGCGGCAGGAAGCCCAGCGTGCTTACCTGTACGCAATTCTTTCCCTCTGTAAATCCTCCAAGCCGCAGCACACCTCCGCTGCATAGAAAACAGCCCTCTTCTCATCGAAGCCGGGACTGCCTAGGTTGTAAATGTGGAACTTCAGATCCCCTCCATTCATGATGGTTAGCACCAGACACAAGGTTTCTTTGGTTTCATAAGCGTAGGCTAAATTAACCTAAACACAACAGCATAAAAACAAAACACAGAACACCTGCTCATGCATTGGTGCTTTATTCTGTTTTCCAACAATATTCAAATTATCTATGTTGGACTTATAATTGCAACATCCAAACACTACAGGCTGCAGGGAGACGTGCCTCTTGCACCTTCACCTCTCAAAGACCTTACTGCAGTTGTATACAGAAAGAACTTTCAAGGTGAGTAAGTGGCAAAGCTTCCTGCACCAAGTCTGGACCTCAGTCCTGCAGGCTGTGCTCTGAGCGCCTGAGCACTGACGTGCGGTGCACGTGGCACCACAGCTGAACCCCAGTAGTGCAGGGCCACACTGCCCCTTCCCCGCGACACTATCTGTGGTCAGCCTTCTTGCCTAGCTAGGCTGGCAGAGCTCCAGTGCTCCACAACTGGGCGTGGGTTTTGTTTATTTAACAGTGCTGGGGCAAGAACCAGGCGTCACACATGCTAGGTAAGCACTCTACCACTGAGCTACACCCTAGGCCCTAACTGTGGCCTTCATTTGCATTTCTCTGTATATGCAAACACAGGGGATACTCCTCACACTTCTTCATATACTTACTAGGCATTTGGATCCTCTTTTGTGAAATGTCTATCAAGTCTTTGTTTGCTTGTTTGAAGAGACAGTGTCTCACTATGTTGGCCAGGTTGGCCCTAAACTCCTGGTAAAAGAGTTTCCTTTTTACTCCTGCCTCAGCCTTTTCGGCAGCTGTGACTATGGGTATGTGCCAAAATTGCCCAACCGAAAATATTTTTCTGCATACCAAGAAATCGTTTTACCACTGAACTATATCCCTACCCCTTTCAAGTTTTTGCCATCTTTCTATTGGCTTATATGTCCAGTCACACGTTTCCCTGCTGGGATTCTGCTTGGGTTCCACTTCACTAGTAGATCAGTTGGAAGCACTGGTGTCTTCAGGGCACTGACTCTTCCATTGGGAATAAGGCCTTCTTCCACTTATTCCATCCTTCAACTTCTGATAACAGCACTTTACAGCTCCTGGGGTAGAAGTCTTACAACGTTTGTTAGATCTTTCCTAGGCTTTCCTATTTCTCGGTATTTCTTGAAATAGCTTTCCTATTTCCTATTGTAAATAGACTCAATAAAATTCTCTTTGTAACTGCTTTTGGCTGGTTCACAGCTGATCACTGGCTAAACCAAGTGCTCTCTAGGAAGGGTGGATATATACATATAATCATGTTACCTGGAGGTAATGATAGTCTTTTTACCACTCTTTTTCTTTCTCCAATCTTAATCCCTTTCTCTTTTTTCCTTAGTTTGTTTACTGGCTGGAGCTGCAAACATGATACAGCAGGTACCCTCATCTCATTGCAGGTCTCACAGGGACAGTTACATGTATGATAGGTCCTAAAGATTTTATTAAGGCAGTTCACATCCCTCCCGCTCCTTCTTGAGACAGGGTCTCACTATGAAGTTCAGGCTGGCCTTGAACTCACTATGTAGCACAGTCTGGCCTCAAACTCACAGTGATCCTCCTGCCTCAGCCTCTAGAATGCTAGGATTACAGGCATGTGCCACCATGCGTGGTTGAGGTAGTTTCCTTCTAAACCTAGTTTGCTTGAAGCAGTGGTGGCGAACCTTTTAGAGACCAAGCACCCAAAAATTCAGCCCAAAACCCACTTATTTATTGCAAAATATACCACAATTAAACCTAAATGGTTGACTGCTGGGCCAAGGCTGGGGATGTGGCTTGCATACCGACAGAAAGGTCTCTGCGTGCCTGCTGTGGCATTCATGCCATAGGTCTGCTACCACTGGCCTAGAGGCTTTCTGTTTGTTTTGTTTGATTTTTGGTAGTGCTAGGGACCCAGAGCCCTGGATGTAGCTACATCCTCAGCTTTGTATATTTTATTTTGAGACAAGGTCTTGCTAAATTGCCCAGCCTGGGCTCAAACTCGCAATCCTCCAGCCTCGGCCCCGAGTAGCTGGGATCACAGGTGCGCACCACTGCACCCAGCTAGTTTTTAACCATGAATGAGCACTGAGTTTTATCAAAAGCTAGTCTGACAGCCATTGAAATGACTATGTTTCCCTGCATCTGGTAATGTGTGTGCAGGCAGGGGCAGGGAGCTTGGAGGAGCTGAGCTGCTGCTATGTGGACTGGGGTGTGTGGGGGGTGTGACTTAGGCACAAGTCAGGATTGCCATCCCATTGCAAGTGGGAAACAGAGAATCACAGATGAAGAAAATATTTCTAGTTTCCTTGGGAAAGGCCCACAGTATAGAAACCAGATTACTTAGATGGAATAAACTATAACTGCTATGTATGCCCCTTTCATAAAGCTAGATTTGCAATTTCTGTGTTTCATGCTGGTAACACAAGTTTAAAGCCATTCTAAAGTGAACTCATTTTATTAACTATTTTCACAGAACTGCACAAGACACCAACTGACCGTGCACACACAGACCCGAGCTGTGACCAGGCATTGCCAGGCCGCTGCTTCAGAACCTTCCTCCCAAAATGGAGCCGCTGACCTAATGCTGAGAACTCAGTAGTTTCTAGGAAACAATTCTACCACTGCAGATCTCTTTATAGATTATTATGCACACTTTCCCTCTGCAGTAGCTGCTACAGGAAATGGAACCAGGTGAAGTTTGAAGAGGAAAAACCATACCACACCACAAGCAGCCTGAACTCAGTTCTCACCCATGCCAGCCGCCCCATGGCCCATCCTTGCCTGGAAGTGAAGGTGGGGCTGGAGGTTTCACATAACTGGGATATGGTATTTGAAGCTCTGGCAGTAAACATGTCAATGGTCAGAAAAAGCAAAAAAGACAGAAAACAGACTGAGGCTAGAGAAGACCATGAGAAAGGTCTAAGGTCTTTCAAGCACATCAAAGTCACAGTGTCCCCCACTGGATGTCCCCACAGGCCAGAGCAGCCCAGGGGGTGCTCCCAGCACACTCTGATAAGATCTGGCTAGCCCAGGCAAGGAAGGATGAGTCACCAGGTGGCGCAGGGAATGCGACAACCCTCTGGGAGCTGGGAGGTGTGAACAGGGCCTGACAGAGTGGAACAGAGCAGGACGGTGGGCAGCCAGGGACTCATAGCAAATCACAAGTCAGCAGCAGGGTCAGAACTGTACCATAAGGCCCCATAAGGAAGAGGGTTGTTCCTAAAAACAAGACTATTCCCAGCACAAGAGAGCAAAACCTCACACAAATTCAATGCAGAAACAGCACGGGACTTTGAGTGCTTGAACGAGAGAGTATTACAACAGCTGGGACACCAGTGCACGCCTGTGATCCTCGCTCCTCCGGAGGATGAGATGAGAGGGTTGTAGGTTCGAGGCCACCCTGGGCAACTTAGTGAGACTCTGTCTCAAATTAGAAATGGCTGTGGTGTAGCTTGGTGGTAGAGTACTCGCTTCACATGCATGAGGCCCTGGGTTGGAGTAACACAGTAACACAGAACCCAGCAACACAGACACACAGACACACACACACACACACACACACACACACACACAAAGTACTGCTAATGAAGCAATATACAAGGAAGACCAAAAGAAGATACTTACTACAAATCTACTATGAACTTTTTCGAGGAGTCTTTTTTCATTCAGAGCCATAGCTTCACCTCCCCTCTTCTTAATTCTTTTTTTTTCTAGCTTTTTGCAGGCATACATTTTTCCTGTAGCTCGCACTTGACAGGCACAAACCTAGTTTACAAAAAGGGGCTCATGTACATGGAACATTTCTTAGGCCTCACTCGCACACCTGCTCTCTCTACACAGCTCTCTCTGTAATGCCCAGCATCTGAAGAGCCAGCGCTCTCTGTGTGGACACGTGGAGTCTGGGGCTGGCTCCTCCTCTCTGACACCAGCTTCTCACCCACAACAGGCTGCTGGGAGCCTAGTGAACCTGAGCTTGTCCTTTGTAAACGGTGAGACAGGGTGCAAATGAAACTTGCTGTTCATATGTGATCATAATGTGTGTTTAATTCAGTTTTTCATAAAAGAACAAATATGTAAGATACAAAATTAAAAAGTTTTAGTTTTTTAATTAAAAAGTTCAAGGCTGGATACAGTAGTCCAGCTTCCTTGGAAAGCTGAGACAGGAGGATCACTTGTGTCTGGTGTTCAAGGCCAGCCTAGGCAACACTGTGAGACCCTTTTTTAAAAAAAGTTCAAAAAGGTAAAGAAAGATATTCCATAAAATCCATCAATTTTTATAACTTTAATTTAGTTCTTAAAGTAATACTTACAAATTATCATAATGTTAGCACAGGAACATTTACTTGGAGAGAAGAGGATGAGACCACAGGCCTCTACCTCTATTTATCAACACATGGCCGTTGTTCCCTCTGATGCCTTTAAATGCACCCACAGAGACACACGTACACACCCCTTATATACACACACCACAGGCACACACCACATGCACACACACACACACATGCCACAAAGAAGATTACTTTAAAAGCAAATGTAGCTAGGCATGGTGGCACAGGCCTATAATCCCAGCACTCAGGAGGCTGAGGCAGGAGGATTGTTCTGAATTTGAGGTCAGCATGGGCTACAAAGTGAGCTCAAGGCCAGCCTGAACTGCACAGTGAGACCCTGTCTCAAAAAGACCAAAAAAAAAAAAAAAAAGCAAATGTAAAACATGATATAATTTATCCATCAATAAAATCATTTCAATGGTAAAATATAAAATTTATTATGTAAAATGCTGGAAGCAAAAAGGACAATGATAAAATCTTTGTCATCTTAAGTCCAAGGTACCATTAATATTCTGCCATGTTGGTTTCCAAGTCCACTTTCGTACATGGCTGTGAATAGAGAGGAGGAGAATACACACCTGGCTTTCCCTGGCAGCTGCCTTTTAGGACAGACGTGGGCCTGTACGTGCTCTAGAATAAGGAATGGTGCAGAACCCCCTCTTACTCTTACAGTGCGACTGCTCCCCATCATTAAATATTCTCCTGAAACATGACTGGTGCCAAATTCATTTAATAGTTTTCCTACGATTAAGTCTTAGGGTAAGTCTCTGCTTGTCCCTTCAGCATTAACTCAAGAAGAATTCCCTCATGTGGAACTGCCAGGTCAGAGAAAGGCAAAGGACAGCAGGTCAGAGCGGCAGAGATGCTGCCAACAGAAGCTACACACCGGGAGCCAGTCTGTGAAGAGCAGCACGGCTCGCTGGTCCATCCAGTCATTGGAAACGTAAGTAAATGTGTTTAAAGCCATCGCTACCATCATAAATACGCCAAGCCTTTCACAACACCCAAACCTGGCCAAGGTGCTCCTCGTAAGTCCATTTAAAATCTCACAAGGCCGGAATTAGAACTTTGTTCTTTTGTAACCCTAAGATACCGAGGCCCCCAAAGCCTCTTTCCTTCTGATTCTGCACAGAACCTAAGTCTGTGCTTAAGCGATAGTGAAGGGTGGGAGCGAGAGGTGAGTCTCTAGTCCTGGGAGACTCAGGAGCAGACAGAAGATGGTTCCTTAGAGACCATCGTGTCTGACCTGTAGACACAGGTTGGTTTGCTCTCATTTTTTTAAATGTTATAATGAAAATATTTTTCAAAAGGGAGTTGTGGGGCCGGGGATATAGCTCAGCAGCACAGCCCCTACCTGGCAAGCGCAAGGTCCTGAGTTCCATTCCCAGTACCCACAAAAAAAATTTTAAAAAAATTTTTTAAAAAGGGAGTTATATTACTTATATACATTAACTATTTAATATTTTTTATATGAAGCCTGAGAAAATTCTTCACTCAAAAAAGACAGGACTGGCGAGGCGTGGTGGTGCACACCTGTAATCCCAGCACTCAGGAGGTGAAGGCAGGAGGATCACTATGAGTCTGAGGCCAGTGTGGATGTGAGTCCAAGGCCAGCCTGAACTGCATAGTGAGACCTTGTCTCACAAAGACAAAAAGACAAAAAAAAAAAGAGAGAGAGAGAGAAGACCAATAAACAAACAAACAAACAAACAAAGCAAGCCTCAGGCTAGACACACCTGAAAGCCTTCAGTGGAGTAGGCCAACTGTTCTACCAGGTTTCAGAACCAAGGCAATGCAAGGCGTGAGGGTACACACCTATAATCCCAGCACTCGGGAGGCTGACGCAGGAGGATCACTGTGAGTTCAAGGACTATGTTGCCCAGTTTGGGCAACATAGTGAGTTCAAGGACAGCCTGTACTGCATAGTGAGACCCCTGTCTCAGTTTGAAAAAGAAGAAAAAACAGAAAAGGGGGAAAAAAAAAAAAAAAAGAACCACGGGTATAACTGCACTGGTCAGAGTATCTCTGGGTATCCAATGCCAGTGGATGCGCTCCTGGGTCAGGCCTTCCATCTACTGAAGTGACGCTGCTGGCTTCTGCTTGGAATTGGAATTGCGGAGCATGCTTGGTTTAAACCATATCTGGGCAGTGTAGCCTGCTTCTGATGTAAACCTCAGTGTCAGAGCCCCCAGTAGCTCCCCTGGGTCTTGTAAGTTCAGGGACTGAGAAGATCACTCCAGATGATTAGTGAGGTACTGAGCATCTCTGTAAAGACCCACACAGAGCTGGTGCTAATCCTCTTCTCTGTTGCAGTGGTCTCTCTTAGGACACAGCTGTCATATTTAAAGACCCTCACTTATGAATCTGTTAGGAGTTGCCTAAGGGTTTTCCCAAGTTGACACATTTTTGACACATTTTTGGACATTTCTTTTTTTTTTTTCCCCTCAGATTGAACCCAGGGCCTGGTGTTTGGTAGAGGAGCACTCTACCCTGAGAAGCACTCCAAGCTGTGGAAACATTTTTCTTTTCTTGGCGATAATGGGGACTGAACGCAGGGGTGCTCAACCCCGGAGCTACAATCCCAACCCTTTTTTAGTTTTTATTTTGAGACAGGGTCTCACCATTTGCCTTTTGGATATAGGGGTGAGGTACGTATGTGTCCAAACATAGACAGGTTAAATAAACTTATAACAATATACTCTAGCCAGACACGTAGCACACACCTACAGTCTAAACTACTCAGGAGGCTGAGATAGGAAGATCACTTGAGCCCAGCAGTTTGGCCAGAGTGTGTGTGTGTCAGTGTGTCTGCGCAGCTGTCTTTCTGTCTCACTGCAGTAGTGAGAATTAAACTCAGGGCCTACACACCAAGCTATATCTCTCACCCTTAATTTTTTTTTCATTTTGAGACAAGATCTTGCTAAATTGCTAAGTTGCCCAGGTTGGGCTTGGAGTTGTAATCTTTCTGCCTTGACCTCCCAGAGCACTGGAATAAGCAGACCTCATTTCTTTTAAAAAATGCACTCGGGGCTGGGGATTTAGCTCAGCGGCAAAGTGCCTGCCTGGCAAGCGCAAGGTCGTGAGTTCGGTTCCCGGTACCGGAGAAAAACCAAAAATAAAATAAAATAAAATAAAAATAAAAAATGCACTCTTAGCTGCATAAATTTGAGGGTTAGTTGTAAATTAGAGAAACAGGGTAATGAGTCTGCAGCCATATTACCCTGAAAGGCCCAATCTTGTCTGATCTTGGAAGCCAGGCCTGGTTACTACTGGGAAAGGAGGAATGGGTAACAGAAATTTTACAATGTGGAAACAAGAATCTTTCAATCTGGATAAGCTGCCTGAAACTGAACATCAAGCAAGGGAAACAGCTTTTCTCAGAAATAGGAAGTAGAAGATAAACTCACGAAGATTACGGATTTTTTGAAAGGCTTGTAGGAAAGCACCTTTCGGTCAAATTTCCACCTCCTTTCTTAGAGCAAATGCAGTAAGGAAACAAACGTCCTGGTGAAGTTGACACAGTACCTGGCACTCTTGTCTCGGTTGCCTTGCTGTTACTGTCTAGAGCGCAAGGGCTGCTTACCCCGCTCCGACTACTCACCTCTCCAAATCCGCCTTTTCCTAGAACTCTGTAATTTCTAAATGTGTTCTTGGATACTGGCTGCCTAAGCAATTAAAAAAAAAAATGTAGGTCTCAGGTCACACCATTACTTTCAAACAGGAAGCCTCCCTAGGTCCCCCAGCAGCCTTCCGCACTGAGCCTACTGCTCAAGGGGGTGCCCAGACAAAGCGAGCAGTGCTCAGGGACCGCTAGCCCCTTGGGGACCGCTAGCACTAAGAGAAAGAACATTTTAAGATTCACTGAAAACACAGCCAGGCGTGGTAATCCCAGCAGTCCAAGGAGCTGAAACAAGAGGACCACAAGTTTGAGCCCAACCTGGGCAATTTAGCAAGACCCTGTCTCAAAATGAAAAACACCAGATACAGTGGGCATGTCTGTAATCCTAGCACTCCAGAGGCAGAGGGAGGAGGATTGCTGCAAGTTCAAGGCCAGCCCGAGCTACACAGTTCAAGCCGAGCCTGAACTACAAACTAAAACCCTGTATCAAAAAGCAAAACAAAACGAAACAAAAACAAAAGAGGTCTGGGACTGGCTATCGCTCAGTACAAAAGACCTGGGTTAAATTCCCAATACCAAAAAATGAAAAAAATGTGTATTGTAACAATAAAATTGAGAATAAAATAAAAATTGAAAGCACTGGCGCAAGATGCAGAACAGTCCCGTTATCCTCTGTAACTAATGACAGGTCTCCAAGCACCCCACACCAGGAACTGTCCGTGTTCACAAATCACCACCTCACCCGTCAGAAATCTGCCAAGGAAAATGATGTCAACACAGCACTGTCCTTTGAGAAAAGAACCTCAATGTCCAAACAAAAAATGCAGGAGCTATAACTGGAAATATAATCAATAATAATTTTAGTAGTAACAGTAATAATCATAACTGCACCAGTAGCAGCTGACTTTTTTGGCATTTATTTTGAGCACTGAATGCTGGGCTAGGTATTTTTCTTTTTTCTCTGTTGGGGGTTGGAGGGTACTGGGGATGGAGCCCAGGGCTTTGCACATGCTCGGAAGTGCTCTACCCGAGCTATGCCCCAGCCCCTTTTCATTTTTTGAGACAGGGTCTCACTAAGTTACCCATGCACTTGAGTTGTGACCCTCCTGCTCAGTCCCCCAAGTAACTGAGATTATAAGCATGCACTACCATGTCTGGCTACACTAAGCATTTTATTCACATTTTCCAGGTGACCTTAGCAACAGTTTTACAGGGTAGGGTCTGCAATTCGTTCTGTTGTACAAAACTAGAACCTGAAGCTCATAATGATACAGCCACTTGTCTGAGGTCACACAGCTAGTAGGAGGCCAGGCAGGGGCCTCTGCAGCCTCAGCCCCCACGTCCTGTTTCCTGTTATAAACCTAGGATATATTTTATTTTCTAGCCATTTCACCAATGAGCTAAATGCCATTTTCCCCCAACTACCATTTTTATGAGCAAAAACAGCTTCCAGTAAACCAGAACAAATTGTATAACATGGTATCTACAATCTACTCTCTCATATTAATTACTTCTGTATAAAATATTACATACAATTCAAGATTTCTAGTAGCATTGTGACAGATGGAAAAGTAGACAGCAATCGTTATACATTATGAGAAGCCACTACCTGTTTTTATTGTTTTAAATTAAAACATACCTTTCCAGCCATTTCCATTGTAAAAATCGAGAAAAATATGGGCTTTCTTGGTATTCTTCAAATGGTTTTTTGCTCAAATAGTTGTGGACAACACTAGAAAAAGATGTTACAAAGTTACAGACATTTGCTGCACAAAACTATGAAACTGTGTCTGGGGGTGGGGCGCCTGCTGGGCGAGGGGTCACAGAGAGGAAGCCGGAGCCAGTGGCTACAGCAGTGGCACGGACACGTCTGGGCAGCCCTGGTGGGGGTGGTCTGAAGAAGGCAGGTCTGAGCTGGAGCAAAGCTACTCGGATGGAGAGGGGAAAGAGGGTCTGAGCAGCAGCAAGCGTCGCCAAGGAAGCGAGGGAGCACTGGGAACTGCCCTACCCTTTCCATGAATTTCAGCACCAGAGCCAGTCACGCGTGTTCCATCTCACTTTATTGTATTAAAAGAGGCGGCTAATGTGTTTGTGGACTGATTCATGTTATAGAACAGCAATTCTCAAAGCAAGGGTCCCTACGGACCCTGACAACACTGAGACCCTCACAGGAGTGCTCTCCCGGGAACCGTATCTGTGCTAGCCCTAGGACACCATGTGCCTTTCTGAAGTCTGCTCTCTCAGGAGGACACAAGACACAGTGAGATCGCTGCTCTGAGGGCTGATGTCTCCCGTGAAAAACACCACCCACTTAACAAAGGCCCGTTGGCCCCCAGTGATTTGAGAGTGCGATCAAAAAGGCTGACAGAGCTGCTCCGACCCTTTGGAGTCTACACACTGTCCCAGAGGCCGTGAGAGCAGCTCACTTCCTGTTCCCCTCAGTTCTGACCAGGGTGACAAGGGAGAGAACACAAGCCAGAGTGCTGAGCTCGAGTCAGGGAAGCAGAGGTGGGTCCGCGTCTGCGACGCCCTTCTCTCGGCTCACTCTGCCACACTCCCTACAAGAAGCCTGGGCTCACCGCCACGGCCTCCATCATCGCTGGACGCAGTGCGACAGCCAAATCCAGGCTCGGCCACACGGGGGAACACTCGGGCTTCAGTGTTTTGCAGCTTTGCTTGTGTCTCAAACTCACCTCCAATTCAGCACCTCCCCTACAGACCAGGTGGTCTCACAGCCAGTCAGCCTCCTAGTTCCCTCCACTGCACCTGTGTGCCGTGCGCCCGGGAACCAGCAGGTCTCACCTGGCCCAGCCTCCCAGGCTCCGTTCCCCTCCGAGTCACCCTCCACACTGCAGCCAGAGAAGCCTTTGAAACAAGCTTCCACCTTAACTGCTTTCAGAGTGAGGGACATTTGCACCTGGTCCCTGAGGCCTTAGTTTCCTTACTGTGGAAGGAGGGACTGTCCCCACAGATAGATGAAGCATTGCATGTTTGGGACCTGGTCACCAGGGAAACCACTCTTTTTCTCAGGTGCCTAAGGAACCTGAATCTAGCTGAAGAGGTCTGCCTTAGAATTTCTCTGTCTTATCACAAAGAACCAGAGAAAGATACCCTCCGCAAGTGCCCAGGTCTCCAAAATCATTCCGAGAACCTCCTCATCCTAGACACAGGCATGTTGGAAAGCAGAGCAGGGGTGGCCCAGAGCCATCACAGGGATGACAGCACCCTGGGGCTCATTGCCAAAACCCTCAGGGTGGCGTCCGTATATGTGTAAGCACTGTTCTTCACTATCCTTTCCAGTGAAAGAGATCGATTTAATTTGGAATATACTCTGGTGAGAACTTGTCTCACACAGAGAAACTTCCTGCCAACGTTACGTCCCAGGGGCACCCACAGATAAAGCGAACAAGGCCGTGCGAGAACCACTCACCTTGCGCATCCCTCGAAGATGTTTTTGCAGAACTGCTGGTTCAGGTCCCATCTGCACTCTCTCACAGCAGCCGCGGGTATCTCTGGTAAGAGAGGTCCCGAGTTCTCAACATAGCACAAAGCAGACACATAACAATTAGTGATTTTATAGTTTACAATGACAAACAGAACTTAATATCTGCTGTGAAAAAAGAAAACATAAAATATACAAAGTGGCAGTCAGAAGGTCACCTGAATCCTCCACCCAGCCCGCTCTCTGGAGTCAGCCTCAGGGGCTGCCTTTGCCAACTGGTCCCTCTGGACTCAAAACTTGTTCAGCTCAGAAAGCAGGGTCTGCAGGAGGTTTGTGCACACCCATGTTCAACCAGCCACAAGGTGGACACAACCCAGCATCCAAGAACGGCTGAGCAGCTGGATAAAATGCGGCACACACATCCAACCTTGGAAAGGAAGAACGCTCTGAGGTGGAGACACAGCCCAAAGGGAGAGCCTGGGCCTGTGTGAGGTCCAGTTCAATCCCCAGCACCAAACACACACACACACACACACACACACACACACACACACACACACGGACATTCTGACACATTCTGTAATGTGGATGAACTTGGAGGACACTACTCTAACACATGCCAACCACAAGGGGACAGATATATTCTGCATGATTTCACTGATGCAATAGCTAGAGAAGTTGAGTTCATAGAGATAGAAGCACAAGGGTAATTACCAGGGGCTGGAGAGAGGAAATCAGGGAGTTGTTTAATGGTAGATTTTCAGGGGTTTTATTCTTGAGACACGGTCTTACTATGGAGTTTAGGCTGGCCTTGAATTTATGTGATCCTCCTGTCTCAGCCTCGTGAGTATTGGGATGACAGGTGCACACCATCATGCCTGGCTAGACTTTTAGTTTTGCAAGGTAAAAAAGGCTCTAAAAATTGGTTACATAATAGTGCTACTATTCTTAACACTACTGAATTACACAGTTAGAAATGTTTAACATAGTAAATTTTACCTTATGTGTTTTTCAACACAAGTTAAAAATTTAAATCGCACACACATGCCCCTCCTCAGAAATACACACATCTTCTTTGTCCTCCTATGTATAGGAAAAAAATATACGGCTAGTTTTGTAACTATGAACCTACAGAGATACTGCAATGATTTTCCAGGATATGGGCTGATCTGACCATGCTGAACATTCTAGCTGCCAATCTTCCCACCTCAAATATCACTGCCGTCAACACCTTGGAATGCCTGATTTCTACAGAATGGTTCCAGAAACAGCATTACTACCTCACAGGGTACACACATTATGAACATCAGTATTTCTAGTGACCCTGCCCTCTACGGAGGTTCTACACCTCACACTCTCACTCCGTGTCCCTTTGCGCCACTTTCCGTCCTCTTTAACCCCTTCCAGAGGGTTCTGGAAAAAGGAAACATGACAACCTGATTGTGTATATTCCATGAAAAAGTACCGGACATGCTCAGTTGTTACTTTGTGATTAGAAACAAGAAACACATTCCAGACTGGCTTATGGCAGAGCCAAGACACACAGCAAGTTGTTTTGGTTGGTTTCTATAAACCAAGGCAGTTATTTCATCAAAGAAGTTGAACAACTGACAGAAATATGCAACAGTGAGGAAACCCACTGAAAGAAATTCTAGGGGCTGGGGGTACAGCTCCGGGGCAGAACACATGCCTAGCATACAGGAGCTCCTGGGTTTGATCCTCAGTACTGCAACAAAACAAAACAAGACAAAACAAAAAAGAAAATCACCAATATGGCTATAATTCATAACAATTAACAGCGGCTATTTAAGTGCCTGATGGGAGGCACTTCAGTAATCTCACCTCATTTGTTCTGGTAGCCCTGATGGGTGAGAAGAGCCACCCGGAAGTCACAAAGCTCGCTGGTGACCACCACCAAGTAGGAGCGCTCAGCTGTGCCACGCCCCGTGGGACACCAAGCCAGCTCCTTTCCAAGCAGCCAGGCCTTGAGAAGAATAGAATGTAAGGGCAGTGTTGTGGGCACACCTATAATCCCAGCACTCGGAAGGCTGAAGCAGGGGGATCGCCACAAGTTTGATGCAGGCCTGGGTTACAGAGTGAGTTTAAGGCCAGCCTGAACTACACAGTGAGACCTTATCTCAAAAAAAAAAAGGAATAGCATTGAAGGGAAGGTGTTTGCTCATTCATTTACTCAACAAACAGGCATTGTTAGGCACAGGAGACAGAAAAACAAGGCAACGTTTTCTTAGAAAACAAAGCCAGTGTTCCAACAATCTCATCTCCCCTTCTAAGAACTCAGTCTTATGAAACTAAATAGCAGGCTGATTCTATTGAGACTCTTTAGTGATTAAGTCCAAAAGGCATCCTAGTGTCAATGTCTTTAAAAACTCATACTAAGCCGGGCTTGGTGGCACATGCCTTAATCCCAGCACTGAGGCAGGAGGACTGCCACGTTTGAAGCCAGCCTGAGCTACCCGGCGAGACCCTGTCTCAGGGAAAAGTAAATAAATAAATAAATAATACAACAAAACAAAAACTTATACTAACAGATACTAATTCCTGCAGAAAGGAAAAGCAACCTTTCTAATCTCCACAGCAGGAAGGCGAGGAAAGCTAAGGTACAGCAAGGCGAGGCATGCGATGTGAAACAAAGGAAAGCAGAGCTGAGATGCTAGGGTTTTCTTTTAAGAAATGATGATTACAGGCAGTTACCAGGGCACATTCACCAAATGACACAGTGCTTTGCTTCTCAGCATTCTGGACATAGGCAACTCTAACAGGAAATGATGGGAGGGAAGGGTAGGTGATTTTGCAAAAACACAGACCTGTCAAAAAATACATTTACCTTGCTATTTACTTTAAATTGAATTGTTTTATTGCTGACTATAGTGAGGTAGGAAAGAAGAAATAAAGATAGGTAGAAAAAGAGGCAAAAAAATAGTAATTTTTAAACTGTACTTTTAAGAAAAACCGCAGCTTCAGGACACAAAGCTCTCCAGGGCCACACTGCCTCCTGCCCTCCCAGGAAACTCAGGGCAAAACAACTCCCCCAGGTTTGCAGACCCAAAGGAGCTGTAACCAGGGCCGGGCTCTCCCGCCCGCAGACCTCATCCTCAAGGAAGCCGCCGAGGAAGTGGCAGCACCGCTGTGAACTCCAAACTGCAGCTGGTTCACCTCCTACCCCGCCCAGCAAGGGCAGCCTGAAGACACGGGGATCCAGGCCCCCCTCGATCCTCGCCCTGAAGACCTGAGACCCCGTGAAAGCCGCGAGACCACCTTGTCTCTGCCTCTCACCGGCCGCACTCTGTTCTCTCCCAGCGTGACGCCTTCGCTGTGCACAATAAACCTTTCTGTGCCTCTCACCGACGCACCCTGTAATTCTTTTCTACGACCCTGCCAGTAGGGTGAGATAAGGTCCCCATCTCCTCTGTGAGGCACCTCCTTTGGCCTCATCAGGTGACAGTAAGAATTCCTTCTATATTCAGGATATTAGAAAATGATACAGCTTTAGCTCTTACGTTTAGGTCCGTATCCTTTCAAAACCATTTTCACGTGGGTATCCAGTTGTTCCAGCACTGATTGTTGAAAAGACTCTTCTTTCTCCCCTTGAATTGTCTCAGACCCTACCACATGCTATAGATTACATCTAAATGTCCCCACACAGCCTCTTGACTCACAGGTGGGGCTTTTGGGCAGGGACTGGATCGTGGGTGCGGTACTGGATTAGCTCACTGGTTGGTTTTACATAGTTCTAGGTTTAGAGCATGGACTTACTGAAGAGGGATGACCCACCCTGGGTGTGGGTGACACCAGCTAATGGGCTTGCAGCCTGGATGAAATAAAAAGGGAAAGAAGGAAGGCTCGCTGCTTCCTGCCTGCCCTGCCAAGGATCCTTTCTCCTCTGCCATGCCAGACTACCGTGGAGCTAGCCAATTATGGACTGGAATTTCTACAAACTGTGAACTAAAATAAAGCTTTCTTCCTTGAATTTGTGGGTATTACTTATCATGTCCCAGCAACAAGAAAGTAACAACAAGAAAGTCCCAGCAACAAGTAAGTCAACTGACTGCAAATGTATGAGTTTATTTCTGGACTCCCAATTCTATTCCACTGACTCAGGTCTCTAACCTTATCCAAGTACTGTGCCACACTGTCTTGATTATTATAACTTTGTAATAAGGTTTGAAATTGATAAATGTGTGTCTTCTCTCTTTTTTTAAGAATATTGTAACTGGGGCTGGGGATTTAGCTCAGTGGCACAGCACCTGCCTGGCAAGTGCAAGGTCATGAGTTTGATTCCCAGTACTGGAACACCCCCCCAAGCCGCAAAAAAGAATATCGTAACTATTAACATCCATATGCTTTTTTTTTGTTTTTGGTCCTTTGGGTTTCATTATGCAGTTCAGGTTGGATTTGAACTCACTTTGTAGCCCAAGCTGGCCTCAAACTCACAGTGATCCTCCTGTCTCAGCCTCTTGAGTGCTAGGATTACAGGTATGCATCATCATACCCCACCTATCCATATGAATTCTAAAAGCACTTTGTTTAATTTCTGCAAAAAAAGAATTTTGGTATGGATTGTATTGAATTCATGTATCAATTTGGGGAGTATTACAATGTAAACAATATTAATCCCCCAGTACTAGGAATTGATCCCAAGACCTCTCCACTAAGCTATATCCCCAGCTTTATTTTGAGACAGGGTCTTACTAAGTCACTGTCACTAAACTGCTAAATTGCCCAGGCTTGGCTTGAACTTGTGATCCTCTTGCCTCAGCCTTCCACAGTGCTGGGATTACAGACAGGCATACACCACCATGTCTGGCAACAATATGGGATATCTTTTCATTTATTTAGAGCTTCTTTCTTTTTTCATTTTTTGTAGTTTTCGGTGTACAAGTATTACACTTATTTTGTTGTACTTATTCCTAAGTATTTTATTGTTTTGATGAAAATATAAATAGAACTGCTTTCTCAATTTTTTTATTTTGATAGCTAATATATAACAATATGTTATAATTTTACATAGTGATCTAGTACAAGGTGTGAGTGGCAAATAAGTGAATGTTTAAATTTTTTAAAATGTTGGGTGGGAATGGTGGTGCATGCCTGTAATTCTAGCTACTCAAGAAGCTGAGCCACAAAGATTACAAGTTCAAGGCCAACCTGGATATCTTACTAAGACTCTATCTCAAAAACTCAAAAGGGCTGGGGATGTAGTTCAGTGGCAGTGTGCCCTTGGATTTAATAACTAGTACTGAAAAAAATAAATAAATAAAATTGAAAAAAATGATTACACTGAAACACATATTGCCATTACTGCCCTTCAGAATAGTTCTCTTTGGTTCAAACACTTATCCCATCATCTTGCCACTGTTCTGAAGCAGTTCTGGAAGCCCTCTTTCATGAGTGTCTTTAGTTGCACAGTTGTAGCTGTCTGTATGTCTTGAATTGATTTAAATGCTTCCCTTTCACAGTCATTTTTACCTTGAGGAAGAGTCAGAAGAGGCATCATGCCAGATCCTGTGAATAAGGTGGACGAGGACACAGCATTGTGCTTTTAGGAATGGGCCCTTCCTGTTAGGTGGCACTTGACAACAGCATTTGCCGTATTTTTTACCACACCTTAGAAAATTACCCCATCAGTGGTATTCTGTTACAACAGCCCACCTGCTAGGACACCATGCGGCAGGTTTGTAACTGCACCTCCCTTCCTTTTCTGCATTGCTGTACTCACCACTGCAACAGCCCGCTTTGCTACGGGCTACTTGTTCACAAGAACTGAAGAAACAGAAGTTGAAACAAAAGACAAAAGAACTAGATAAGTGAAACTCTATTTGTCCCAATTAGTGTCCTGGGGTACCTCCAGATACACAGATGTTTTAACAGCAGGGTTTGAAAAGAATGACCTGTGAGACTGCAGCTGGAGCTGCACACAAGCTTCAGCGTCAGCTCACCTAGTGCGAGCCTGCTGTGGGCACACTGTGCCACCACAGAGCCCTGCTCGTTCCCTCGCTGGAAGCCCTGTCATCTGCAGTTAGCCCGGTCAGGACATGAATATTCTGGGCTCACTCTCACCAAACCGTTCTCTTAATCCCAGCCTATACATAACCATGTACTCTCCTGGCTCCAGCACTCACTAGCTGTGCAACTTCAGAAAAGCCACTTAACAGCTCTGATTTTCATCTTATGAAAACAGACATAATAAGAGTATTATCTCATGTGTCTGCCAAGGCATTAAGTGTATTACACACATGAGGCTTGGAGGTGTGTTCGTCTAGCGGACGTTATCACTCGCTGTTATGACTGAGGCCTGCCTGGAACACAGCACTCCTAGCGGCTGGCTAAACAGAGTCACAGGAGGGAAGCAGGCTACACTCTCATTTCACTGGCAAATTCAACTGCAAGAACCTACCAAACCAAATAGAATAAAAACTAAGTCCTGTTAAAGCTTTTAGGACAAATACCATTTTTCATCCAAAAGAGACAAATAAAACTCCTTAATTCTACATTCTGTTTGAGAAAACCATAGAAAATTTAAAATTCTTTGAATCTGTTTCCTTAGGGTTTTACAAAATTTAAAAAAAAAATGCAGAAGAGGAACATTTCTAAGAAAGTAAAGTTCTCAACATATTTACTGTATCCTATTCAAAAAGTAAACACAGCTACGCACCTTGATCTTTTAAGCAAGTTATGTACAAGACTTTGTCCTAAAGAAGAAAACCCACCTCATGACTGAAGAATTGCTCCAGGATAGACAGTGCACGGTCCCTGCGGTCCTCATCAATGGTGACTTCGTACTTGGCCTGATCAGAGAGATGGAGGAAAGAGAAATGGCAGTTCTCTTCTTCACCAGCAGAGCCCACGACATTCCCAATTCCGTGGCTTGTGGGACTCACCTGGCAGCATTACAGCCAGGGAGTGCACCTATCAAGCAGCTACAGCCTCTCTTTGGCACCCTGAAGGCTGCAGAGGGTAAATACGTTTTTGTTTTGGTGCTAGAGACTGAATCTGGGGCCTTGCACATCCTAAGAATCTGCCCTGCCAGTGAGTGACATCTCCAGTTTAAAATAAGTCACTTTAGAAAGGGGCTTAATAAAGTAGCAGAACAGTGCCGTGCCCCATTGCATTTTTAGCCGTTAATTGGGGCTAAACAAAATGGGCTAGTCAACAGCATTTCAGAAATCTCCAGAGTCACTTGGGACGCTGAATCAGAACTCCTACAGGAAGCCAAAGTTGGTGATACCAGAGCAGTCTACACTGGGAGTTCAGAGGTCAGGGGCCAGGGGTCAGAAGTCAAGGGTCAGGGACCAGGGGTGAGACCATAGGAGCAGATAATGTCATCCAACCACTATCAGAGGAAAAGAAGTCATTTCCTTGAGCAGCTCCCTAAAACTGTAAAAGATGTTCCAGGCCTGGTGGGTCCTGCACAAATGCGGATGGAAGTGAATTTTATCTCACAAGGCTTCCGCCCTTGCCACAGAAATGTCCCAGGCAGCAGCTCGGAAAGGTGGAGGTAGCAGCAGGGCCAGGCCACTTAGGCTGGCTCCATCTTGGTGCACAGTGCACTGTGGCCAAACTGTGGTGCTGAGGTCACCACGTACATCCCTCCTGATAACTGCTCTGCAGGTACGCAAGTTCCCAGGGTAGGCGGCAGGCCAGGGCCGGCAGCAGTGCCCAGAACTCAGCCTTGGGGCCCGCTGGCAGGCAGGGAGGAAGAGTACCCTGCAGGGCCTGTGTGGCCGCACCCGCCCAGCTGAGCTGTGGCAGAGCAGAAGAAATGCTCCCTGAAGCCCACTGGGGAGAGCGCACCCACGCCCTCCCTGAAGCAGACGCTCTACCCATTTCAACCTTCCTGGCCAGAGCCACAGCCAGGTAACCCGGTGGTTCTTCATATCTCCTTCTGCTCTTGGCTCTCTGGTTGAACCCAGATGCTATTCATTCATTCAACAACCACCGAGCAAGGAGTCAGGTGATGTGGGCGGAAATGACTAAGACTCAGTCTCCCCATTGGAGAACTCGCAAGTCCCTGTCACAAAGCCACCTGAGCAGTGCATGCTGCACAAACAGTGTCATCAGTGTTTTCTCTGAGGCCGCAGGACTGCCATAAGCAAAACAAAACCCGTCACCACAGTCAACAGGCTGTCACCTAGTAACAATGAGGCTGTCACCTAATGACCAACCAACCACAGTAACAGCGGAAGAGTTCACCCTAAAACACAGCCCTAACAACACAGTTTAGCTGTTTTAACATAAAGAATAATTTTAGGTCCCTGAATTTTAAAACTTCATCCGAGTTTGGTAAGCATATCCCACTACATAAGCAAATGATAAAAGAGCCTCAAGACTTTTGAAAAGGTTTTTACAAAGCACGACACCAAAAAGCAATACAAACTTAGTAATGCAAGGCGGTCTTCTGCCTCAGCACACGATTGCTAACACATGGGACGGGCAAGGGAAAAAGAAGCAGGGTCAGAGTCAGGAGACAAGTAACTAAAAGCAAGCACTCTTCTCTGCTGAAGGCCACCCATTTTCTATTGGTCAGTTACTTCTAAATTTTTGAACTTCTAGGCTTGCTAGCAGTGGTTGTAACTCTCTCAATCAGTGAGTCTCAAACAGGATATACGAGAACGCCAGAACCTTCACGGAGCACAGTGGATCCTCACGAGGAACAGCACCCTTGCAGGTGCTTTGGGGCTAGGCACTAGAAGCCACCGTGTCCGCTCCCAGAGAGGCTGCCCCACACGCGCTGAAGGAGCGTATTGTCTCACTTCACCTGCGGCCTTCACACATGCCAGCAGCACGTCCAGACCTGTGCAGTGCCTGGCAGGAGTCTCCAGCCCCCGCGGTACCTTGGTCCTGGAAACAGCGTTTGTACTGACCATACTTCCCTATCAACAAGACAGTGTGACGCCAAGGCCACAAGTCCATCCACTCTCCATCACTGTCCAGGGCTACTTTTTAAATTTTAAAAGCACAAGGCTGGGCCATCCCTCCCAGGACGATGGCTTACCACAGCATCGAGGAATTCAACATGTTTCTTGAGATCTGGCCTGGTGTCGCAGAACTGCCTGAAGAGGAGCCTTCCTATAGGCTGCTTGTCACACAGGCTGCGGTAGTCCTTTTCTAGGGGAAGAAGGGGCAAGCAATGAGCAGGCAGAGTGCTGGCTGTCCACCCAGGGCTGCTCGAGCTCAAGGACTGCTTTCACTCGACACGACAGTGCAGAAAACAGTGGTCCTATAGTATCTTTTCTCTGCATTTTTGCAAATTTACACTGGCACGGTTCAAATCCCTAGGCAGAGCCAGGGACAGCGAACAGAACATGGGGGGTGGGGTGTGAACCTCCTGTTCTCCAACAGCAAAAGCACAGGAGATGGGCTTTCTCTAAGAGAGACCCCTCTCTCCAGCCGCCTTTTGTACAGCACAACCTGCATGTGTGTGAGGTGCACAGCAGGCGTGCACGCAACCAGGGTCTTGTCAACCCTTTCTACTGCACTATGTTCTGTATTTTCACAAGTTACAAATATTACATGTGCTTAAGGAACTTTCTAATTGCTCTTGGTCGACTTTTTTTAGAAGTAGGAAATACTATATACCTTACCTTACGTTAAACAGTGATTCTCTTCTGAGAAGAAGACCCTAATGTTTGGTCAATATATCAAAGGGGATTTAAAATAAAACTTTTAGCCAGGCGTGGTGGCACATGCCTGTAATCCCAGCACTTGGGAGGCTGAGGCACGAGGATTCTTGCAAGTTTGAGACAAGCCTGGGCTACAAAGTAAGCTCAAGGCCAGCCTGAACTACATAGCAAGACCTTGTTTCAAAACGACAAAAAAAAAATAAATAAATATGGGCTGGGGATGTGGCTTGGTGGTAGAGCTCATAGCTTGCATGCACAAAGCCCTGAGTTCAATCCCCAGCACCACAAAAATAAATGAATAAAAATAAAATAAAATAAATTCAAATAAATAAATAAGATAAAATAAAATAAAACTTTTAGCCTGGAATGGTAGCCCATGCCTACAGTTCTAACACTCTGGAAGCCTGAGGCAGGAGGAATACAAGTTCAAGACCAATTTGGCCAATTCAGTGACTTATTGAGACCCTGTTTCAATAATTAAAGGACTGAGAGTATAGCTTGGTACAAAAGCCCTGGGTTTGAGCTCTAATACTGAAAACTAATTAATTAAAGTAAAACGCTCATGTTAAATAGGTTAATTTAAACCTGGGCAAGAACGTTAGTTGTTCTTCCACCAGTAGCTTTCAAGTCAAATGGACAAACACGTTCAGGTTCCACTAAAGTGACTCCAAAGCTAGGAATTAAAATTCATGAAGACAGGTGCAGTGGTACATGGCTGTAATCACAGCTATTCAATAGGCTGAGGCAGGAGGATCTCAAGTTCAAGTAGCCCACGCAACACAGTTAACATCCAGTCTCAAGAAAATAAATCTGAGTCGCTTGTAGAAGAATAGATGGATCTTTATACTATAGTGCTCAGTGAAACAGATCAGACATAGAGGGCTAAATATCACATGGTTTCTCTTCCCCGGAAACCAAAAATACAAATAATTTGAGGAGCAACATAGAGGAGAGACAGTGGCAAACAGGGAGGTAGGTTTTGTGGCGCTGGGAAGGAGATCTAGGGGAGAGGGGAGGAAGAAGGAACAAAAACCATCAAGATTCAACAAGGATACGCACTAATTCACCAGGCAAACATACACTAAAAATGTTAAGAATAAAGTAAAATGCATGAGAAGTGAGCAAGCCAAACCTCAATTAAAGGATTTATTCATGCCAAGTAATCCTGGGAATCCAAACAGTCCTAGCTTTCTCTCACCCAGTACTTCGGATTGAGCCCAGGGCCTTTGCACTAAGCTGCACCTCCAGTCCTTTTTATTTTATTTTGTGACTGGGTCTCACTAAGTTGCCCAGGCTGGCCTTGAACTTGGCATCCTCCCATCTCAGCCTGCCGGCCAGCCGGGATTCCAGGCCTGCAGCACCACGCCCTGCTAGCAATCCCATTCTGGATCACTGAGTCTGTACACGGGAAAGTCCAGGTGAGGATGTAAGTATTTGGCTGCCAGTGCACAACTGCTTGCTTCAACACACCTCACAACAGTTTTGCAAAACTTCTACAACCTATTTTGTCTAACTGGGCTATTCCACTTTATTTTAGTGGTATACGTTGAGTACCCTTTAAAAACACAAAGCCAGCTAACAAGTCATGCTTTTGAAACAGAGATAGTTGTTAATACTTTTCTCCCTAACCAAAAGATTCAGAAGAGCAGAGAGCTTTCAGCCGCACACAGAGACCTGTGTGCAGGTCTGCTTCCTCGACTCCCAGGTGGGAAATGATCGACAGTAAAACAAAACCAGGACAGTGACAGAAAGAATGAAAGCCGCGCAGAGTCAGGCACCCTCAGGAGGCAGGACTTTGTGGGCTACTTGGAAGGGGGAAAGCGGACGGGACTGGATCCCGGGGCCAGGGCCCCGGCGAACAGCACTTCCAACAACGGGCACAGCCAGGAGACACTCAACACTTGCAGCCCTTAGTGTAAGTCAGAAGAACCGCCTCGGATCCCTGGCAGGAGGGAAAAACCTTTCTCCAGTGTCTGTTTTACAACTGTGCTCGTGATTTTGCTACAAGCCACCCAGATTCCCACTGCTCTGCTCCCCAAGAACCCAGGAGGCTTAGGGGACAGGAAGGAAAGGGGTACTTAGAGCTAGCCTCGTCTCCCCTTGTCTGGGTGCACAAGGCCTTCTCCTGGAGGGAGACAGGGGAAGAACACAAGGAGCCCACAGGCAAGGAAGTTCACATGAACTTGACCTCCTTGACCTCCTGGGTGGGCACCTTCATAGCTCTTTCTGATGGATACGCTAATTTCTGACGGAGGCACCAGTTTTCTGTCCATTCACCTGAGCTGAGGAGAGGAGGGGTAGCAATTTATACCCTCAGCAGGAGGAAGTTTGGAGAAGCAGTTTATATCTCTAAAAGAAAAAAAAAAATCCTAGCCTACAATCCGTTGCGGTGCATGTTTGTAATCCCAGCACTCTGGGAGGCTAAAGCAGAATGGCAAGCTTGAGTTCAGCCTGGACAACTTAAGAGACCCTGTTTCAAAGGTAAAAAGAAACAAAAATCTGAATTTTTTAACCTCTCATTTAAAATTTCACTTTTCCATGCATTAGATTCTACATCCTATGAAAAGTACTATAAATCAAGAAATATGTCACAAAATAGGTCTCCAAAGCGGTGCACAGAGGTCCTGATCCTGCAGGGTCATAGCAGCTGGTGCTGGGCTTCTGACCCCCCTGTGCTGGCACCCTGAGCGAGGGCGCCCACCATGTCTGGAGGAGAGGAGGGCGGGTACGGTGGCCCACAGGGCCACACGGTCAGAACAAGAGGCACAGCAACAAACCAACTGGTTAGGGAACCAACCAGTAAGAGACAGTTTCTGAGACAAGAACAAGCCACTTGTCACCAGCACACATGCGCACACACACATTCTCCGTCTCTGTCTCTTTCTCTCTAGTTCTCATATAGAGAGAACACTAATTCAGTGTTATTTTTTGTTTTTTTGAGACAGGGTCTTACTATGTAGTGGAGACTGGCCTTGAACTCATAGCAGTCCTCCTGCCTCAGCCTCCTGAAAATTGGGATTACAGGTGTGTGCCACCACACCCAGCTTAATCCAGTGTTTTATAACTTGCTTATCTGTACAATCTATTCTAGAACTTCAAAACTAAAGGATGATAATTAGAAAAATCCAAGCTATGCTTTCTGTCACACTAAATCAAATGCTACATACACTAATAAAGGAAATAAAGACCGCATGTACAGACTATCTCGGGGAAACATTGTTCTGTTCAGTGGAAGTTCTGTCTGTACATCTTCACCCATTCATTCATTCATTCATTCAACAAAAGCTTGACTCAGTAATGTTCTAGTGACATACAAAGAGAACCAAAGATTTGATCTTATAGCCAAATCCAGTGTTGCCCAGGCTAGCCTCAAACTCCTAGGCTCAAGCCATCCTCCTGCCTCAGCCTCCCAAGTAGCCAGACCAGTGATGGTGAACCTTTTAGAGACTCAATGCCCACACTGCAATTAAACCTGAAGTTTCAGTCTAGAAAAGCAATTCATGCACCTTGGGACACCCATCGCGGAGCGGGCTCTGGGTGCTTGCTGCAGCTTGCCTGACGCAGGCTTGCTGTGAGACCGTAGGCAGAACTGTGCCAGGCTCTGCTGATGTTTAACAAGCTGCTGAGACAAATCCATGGTGAAAGAATGGCCACTTCACGCAATGAGATGTGCTGCAGCTCAGTGGCAGAGCAGCGCTCTGCTCAGTCTCTAGAACTGAAGGGAGAACAAGTACTACCCACGCTTACAGCATTATCGATGAACTTTGAAAACAGTGTGTCACATGGAAAAAGCCAGTCACGAAAGACCACCTAGACTATGCTTCTCATGTATATGGAGTGTTCAGAACAAGCAAGCGAGGGGACAGGACGCGGGTTTATGACCGCCCGGGGCTGGAAGTGGAGGAGGGAAAGCGGGCTGCAGTGAGGGAAGGTTCGTGGGGTTGATGAAGATGTCACGAGGCTGTGGTGACGGCCGCACAGTGTCGTGAGAATGTGGAAGACGCCAGGATGTGTGCTTTATTTCACTGGCAGCGCTGGGGACTGGACCCAGGCCCGGTGCGGGGCAGTGCTGCACCAAGTGCCCCGTGTCTCCAGCCGTGACTGTGCACTACGAATGGATGGACTACAGTTCTGCCTCAAACCAGCTGCTATATTTAAAGCTTACAAGGCCAAAGCAATAGGTTGATCATAAGGGTAATCATTTATGGGAAACAAAAATTACCTCCCTCTGTGAACCATCTGAAACTAAGTTTGATCACTTGAGATGTTTAAGCTTTCTTCGGTAATTTCTTTCTTTCTTTTTTTTGGTACTGGGAATCGAACTCATGACCTTGAGGTTGCTAGTCAGGCACTTGAGTTTCTTGGGGGGTTTTTTGGTTTTTTTCTTTTTGGCACTGGGAATCGAACTCATGACCTTGAGGTTGCTAGTCAGGCACTTGAGTTTCTTGGGGGGTTTTTTGGTTTTTTTCTTTTTGGCACTGGGAATCGAACTCATGACCTCAGGCTTGCTAGGCAAGCACTTATGCCACTGAGCTATAAACTTTCTTTAAAAAGAACTATTATAATACTAAAGAAAAAGATGACTGGTTTATAAAAACCATCTTGCAATAAAGATGTCCTTCCTGTCCAAATACAGTATGAAACACAGGAGGTAAAAAAATAATAATATGTAAATAACTAAGATCTCCATATGGAAAAAAAATACTGTGGGCCAAAAGTCACAAAGAAGAAATATAAGGTATATTCACATCCACAGAGCCACCCCCACCCTGACATACTATGTTTTTATTGGACTAATGCTTTCATCAAATTACCAATAACTTTTATTATTATGCATAGGAAACTAAAAGGATATAATGGTAGCTTGGTTCATGAACTTAATTCTTTCCATGATTTTAGTCACAGAATTCACTCCACGATTCTGGCTGCAATAGAATTAAGTTCATGAACCGAGGCACCACTGTATTAAGAAACATTTAACAGTGCTCATTTCCAAAGACAGCAACTGCCTGGGACACGGAGAGGAACTTTCACTTTGTCTCCTGCTATGTACGGAACAGTGAGAATAGACTACTTTTTAAAAACGTTCTTTATGAAGAAGTCAACAGTCGTATACTTTATCTTTGCAGACTAGAAAATCTAGAGGTTTCTTTTTCTCCTGGGATAGGAGAATCTATCATAAAAATTTTTTAAACAAATATGAGTTAAAGACAGAGTAACAGAAAAGAAAAGAAGAAATAGAGAGAATCTAACAAGCAGCGTAGCCAGACCACAGACCCTAGCCAGCGGTCTACTCACCAATGAAATGCCTCAGCTCTCGGCACTGGCTGACAGTGGGCAGCTTCAGCATCTCCCTCCATTTCTTACTACGACCATTTTTTTGGCCATATCCTCCTAAATTTGAAAAAGAAAAGAGGCATTTTTCTGAGTTTCTTTGTTAAAATACTAAATGTACTGACATGGTGCTTGTAATAGAGAAGGCACTCTTTCATAGCCAGCAATATCGAGGGGTTTTTTGCGTTTTTTTTTTTTTTTTTTTTTTTTTTTCTTGAGACAGAGTCTTGCTATGCAGTTCAGGCTGGCCTTAAGCTCACTTTGTAGCCCAGCCTGATCTCGAACTCACAACAATCCTCCTGCCTCAGCCTCCCGAGCACTGGGATTATAGGCATGTGCCACCACACCGCGCTAATACCCAGTTACATCAACTACGGCCACTAACATATCTCAATATTTGACTGGATGAGTACAATTTAAGCTTATGATGACTTGTGCTACCCAAAAAGTCGGCTTTATGAAGGAAAAACTCCAGCGGTGCAACCAATCCCAGCCTGTTATTTAGAAGCCATGGAGCCCTGACCTGTAAGTAGTTCTGCTGAGGCTCAGCTTCCAAATTTGTGAGCCACATCTAATGTGATATATTGAACTAGCTGCTGGACAAATATTTATATTTTTCCGTGAACATATATTTACTGATCACCTACTACATACTAAAAATGTTGAAATCTCTGGGAAACCAATGGTAAAAACCACAAAGTCTGGAGTGTAGCTCAGTGGTAGAGTACTTCTCTAGCATGCATAAGGCCGTGGGTTCCACCCCCAAAGCTGAAAGAAGAAAAGTCCCTGCCCTACATTCTAGGTGAGGGAAGGAAGATCTACAAATCAGTGATAAATGATTAGAAAAGTATTAGCCAACTGAATACTATTTTGACTCAGTAGCATCAGAGGAGACCTCCATTCAGGCATCACGAGTAGCCATGACACAGGACATCAGGTGTGGCAAAACCGGCAGAGGATTTGGGGTTTTGTTTTGTTTTGTTTTTCATTTTTCTTCCAGTACCAGGAATCGAACTCAAGACCTTGCGCTTGCCAGGCAGGTGCTTTGCCGCTGAGCTAAATGACAGGAAAACACTCAAGGGTAAAGGGCAACTGGGATGGAGGAAAAGAGAAGGGAAAGAAGGAGAAATTTTGTATGTCTGTATATACAGAATATTTAACATACTTGTTCTACTGTCTTCTATTTCTTTGCTGAAAGAAACTGTCAGTGAGTCCTTGGTTGATCAATATTGCGTGTCTCTATCTGTTTTCATGAGAAACCACTTTGAAGATATCAACATGTAATTCAACAAGCATTGTTAATTTCCTACCACTTTGTTTGTAACTCTGTATTGTCTGTACTGTTCTTTTGCTATTTTGTAAAAGGTTGTCTGTCTGTTAATGTTTTCCTCCTTTTATTTTTAAAATAAAAAAATTAAAATTAAAAAAAACCGGCAGAGGAAGTAGGTGTGGCCTGTTAATTAGAAGATATTAGACACATGCACACACGATTCCCAAAGCCACAATTCCCAAAGCCCTGACCGTGGACTTCTGGGGAGCACTCCAGCAGGTTTTCAGGAGGATGGCCTAGACCTGACGTCAGCCTGAGGCGTGGGATTTCCACACCGCCTCTCAGAACCTGGATGTAGAAAGTTCTCCAGGGTTTCAGAGACAGCATAGAAGGACACACTGGCCCGTGAAGACTTTGCTGTCACGCCTTTCCATGACAGCCCATGCCCTGTCTCCAAAGGCAGCGTGTACTTTGATCTTTGCTCCCGCCTTCTTTTCCACTCAGCCTGGGCTCACTCTGCATCCAGCTTCTCTCCCAGACTTTTACCTTCTTGAATAAACTCTGCCACTGCGTTTTGCCCATTTCGTTCAGTTGGTCAAGGTGAGAACCTGGAAACCAACTCCACAAGGAGAGGCAAGCAGCCCAAAGCCTGGTAATGTTTAATTGGCAAGCCACTTTTTTTAGAAACAGAGAGCAGGCAGGCACTCAGGAGGCTGAGGCAGGAGGATCCTTACGAGTTTGAGATCAGCCTGGGCTATAAAGTGAGCTCAGAGCCTGAACTGCAGAGTGAGACCCTGTCTCAAAAAAAAAGGCAAAAAAAAAAAAAATTGAACAGTCCATGGCAAGCAGAAGGCAGCAAGGAACAAGAGATAAGAGACCCTCTTTCTGTCCCTTATGTCTTTTATTTATTTATTTTCTTGAGGTTCAGGCTGGCTTTGAATTCACAATGATCCTCCTGCCTCAGCTTCCTGAGCCGCGGGATTACAAGCATGTGTTCCACCACACCCAGCTGTCCCTTATATTTTAACCAGGCTATGCATGCTTAGGGTGGATAGCACTCACACCCAGGGTGGGGCACCTTTAATCCTACCCAGAACTATGCCAAATCTTTCAGAGGACTAATTTAGTAATCACACACTTCTAATCCCAGCAGCACACACTCCAGATCCAGCCACCTCTGAAAAGCCCTACCTGTGACCGAATGAGGCTTTGGAGGGACATCTAGACACAAGCTGTGACAACCCCCATGATAGGAGTTGCTTTAAATTACTCTTCATAGGTAATGCACATCTGTAGAGTCAAAAACAAAACACACTTGTGTTCTGCAGGCACAAACCTGCATTCCCAAGTACTCAGGAGCCCGAGGCAGGAGGCCTGCCAAGTTCCAAGCCAGCCTTGGCAACTTAGTGTGACCCTGTCTCAGAATAAACTAAAAGGCCCGACATGCAGCTCAGTGGTACAGCACTCTCCTAACACGCACTGAGGCCCTGGGTTCGGTCCCCAGTACCCAAGAAGAAAGAGGCAGTCTTTTCTTCTATCAAAAAAGAGCTCCAGGGAGATGAAGCCGGCTTAGTTCCCTCTCCTCAGGGAGCCAGCAGCAGGTCAGGGCTGCCGCAGACGTTCCACACAGGACCTTGCCTGTGTCGGCCGTCCCCACTGCACCTGTTCTGTCGCCCGGAGGGGACGGGAAGCGACAGCCGAAGGGCGAGGCCAGAGCCAGTGTCTCGGGCAGGTGGGGCTGTGCGACGGGGACCTCTCTGTGACTGTGCTTGGAAGGGACGGGTGCCCAGCCAGCCGCGCACGCGTGCCCGCCTCCGTGCTCTCTCCCTCACCTGCAGGCCGCGGCGCTAAGAAAAGCCGGAGCCTCTGGAGCCGCCCTCGCTTTGGTTCCATGGCACACGCTGAGACCTGCCAGGGGCCACTGCAGCAGAGAAACTTCACAACTCTCTCTGGAGTCTGTTTGAGTAACCCGCTCTGAGGACGACAGGACAGCTAGCATGCGTTCCCAGAACCCTAATACTCAGGAAGCTGAGGCGGGATGGGGGGTCACTGAGAGTTTGAGGACAGCCTGGGCTACATAGCAAGTTCAAAGCCAGCCTGATGTAGTGAGCCCCTTTTTCAAAAAAAAATAAAAAAAATTTAATAAAAGGAAAAGAAATGTGAATGTAGCTAAGTGATAAGAGTACTCCAGTACTGGGGGGAAAAAGAACCAGCAAGAGTACTCTCACTAGTCTAACACAGACAGTGCCATGACGAGATTTAATCAGTTTACAACCTCCCAAAGTGCACGCAGTAGCTCGTGCCTGTAATCCCAGCTCCCTGGTGGCAGAGACCCGAAGTCACCCTCAGCTTCCATTCAGGAACCTCTGGCTGTTCAGGCGGCTCAGAGTGCAAGGTGCAGTCCTCACAGGGGCGCGAAGTCCCCTGCCACTTCTCCTGGACCGTGGAGGACCAGCTTGCCAGGCAGGCTCTGCCGTGGGGCCCCGGGGCCGCGCTGCCCTCTGCCTGCAGCGCCCCTTCCCGAGGGCCTCCTGCTCTCAGGGCTCCTCTCAGCTTCCAGGCCAGGCCTTCCCTGCCCTTCACCTCCCTTCTTGCTGTGTTTTTCTGCATAGCACTGAGCTGTTACCTAACACGCTGCAGTTTAATTCCGTTTTGTTTCCTGTCTTCCCCAAAGGTGTGACCTGACCAAGGGAGGGCACTGTGCTTTGCTGACCCTGCAGCTCTCGCGGCACCGGCAGGGAGCCGATGCTGGGTGGCATTGCTGATCCGTGAGCAGCCGCCCCGCACACAGGCTCCGGAGGCGCCACTGCTTGAGGCCCTCACTGGACACCTCTGCAAGACGTGCTGCAGGTTACTTCACTTTTTTGTCTTTTTGGGGGATATTTTGTAAAGTGATTTTTTTTCCCATATGACCTTTTCATTTTTTTAGTTCATTTTTTGAAATCAGTACATATTTGTCATACATAATGATCACATTCATTGTAAGGAATCTGTACCTGTACATGATATATACCCTAATTCTTTTTTATCCCATCCTCATGATGATTTATCTTTTTTAATGTTTTTAATTATTTTGGCTTTCTTGAGATAGAGTCTTGCTGTGTAGTCTAGGTTGTCCTGAACTCAGTATGTAGCCCAGGCGGTTGAACTGTGGTGATCTTTCTGCCTCAGCCTCCTGAGTGCTGGGATCACAGGATATGGCACCATGCCAGGCCATAAAGTGATGTCTGAGTTGGTTATACAGTCGAATGGGTTTCATTTTGGAAGGTTCATGTATGCACATAACACACACTGGTCATTTTCACCCCACATCAACCCCTACCTACCGTCACCCAGTTTCACATTTTGAGGGGATCTCAATGCGTATTATAGTTTGATCATTGTCCTTGCAATGCCCCTCACTGCCTTTTCCTTGTTCAGTAATATTCCTTTGCCATCATCCTTTTAGATCCCCCACGGCAGGAAGAACTGTGGTCCTTGTCACTCTCCTTTCTCCCTTTCCTCCCTCTGCAGCCCTCTCCCTTCCTTCCTGTGGTCCTGAGGATGGAACCGGGGCCTCTGCACTGAGCGCCAGCCACGCTGCTGCTTCCTTCTGAGTCAGGGCCTCCCTAACTCACCCAGACTGGGACCACAGGCGTGCGCCTCCAGGCCAAGTGTCACTCCGCTTTCCTGCCCCGCACCTGCCCCAGGGGATGAGGACAGGGACCCGAGATGCGGGTCCCAGGGCCTGCTGCACCCCGGGACAGACACCACCAGCTCAGCAGCTGCAGCAACGTCACAGATCCCGTTC